AAAAGCCCCGCTGCCCTTCAGCAAAGTTGGAGCTTGTCTCCCTTTGTGAGTAGACAGAAACTGGAGAATATAAATCCCCACTCCACCAGATATTTAGAAATAACGGAAGCTCGCCATCTTCCCCCCCTTTCAGAAGACTGTCTTTAAAGAAGTGAAGCAGGGTGATTTAAACATTCGCAAAAGGATCTTGCAGGCTGTTGGCTCTCATATATGAAACAGATAAATGCCTGCTCGGACCACCACAGGAATTACACTTGGAACGTTAGGAGAGCTGTGGTAGAGCTTGCTTACATTTATGTGCACATCGTATGCTTACTTTGGTACCCAAAGACTCCTACTTGTACTTTGGTTTGAATAACAATATTCTGCAGCAAGGGAAATATAGTAGTATTTCTCTCAACAGGCCAAAGGTCCACTGCTCATGGAGGGTAACACCCTGTGCTGAGGTTGTATTGAAGTATTTCTTAGCTAAGGATAAATAGTCTTAGGCAAAGAGTGAGGAAAAGGCTACCTTGTCCTCTTTAAAGGGAGATAAATGGTGGGCTGGAGATGAAGAGGCCAAAAGAACTAGCATTCTCTGCAGGTGTTTTGTTTAATTCCTGACAAATACCAATTGTCCTGGAAAGTCACAGTACCTTTTTTCACCCTTCAGAGTGAAATTTTACGAGGAGCCACTGCCATTCTTTGTACAGGGGTACTTCAGGTTAAGAACTTAATTCGTTCTGGAGGTGCGTTCTTAACCTGAAACTGTTCTTAACCTGAGGTACCGCTTTAGCTAATGGGGCCTCCTGCTGCCGCCGCACGATTTCTGTTCTCACCCTGAAGCAAAGTTCTTAACCCGAGGTACTATTTCTGGGTTAGCAGAGTCTGTAACCTGAAGCGTCTTTAACCTGAAGCATCTGTAACCTGAGGTACCGCTGTACTGTTAACAGCTTAGTGAAGATGAAGAAATGAAACCTTTATGACTGTGCAAAAGATGGAGAAACGCAATCCGGCAACATGCCTGAATTTTAGGCAGTTAGTATTAGGCCATTAGTTAAGTTCACAAAGGGACGCAGGTGGTGCTATGGTCTAAACCACTGAGCCTCTTGGGCTTGCTGATCAGAAGGTCGGCGGTTCGAATCCCCGCAACGGGGTCAGCTCCCATTGCTTGGTCCCAGCTCCTGCCAACCTAGCCGTTCAAAAGCATGCCAAAAAGTGCAAGTAGATAAATAGGTACCACTCCAGCGGGAAGGTAAACGGCGTTTCCGTGTGCTGCTCTGGTTCGCCAGAAGCGGCTTAGTCATGCTGGCCACATGACCCAGAAAAACTGTCTGCAGACAAACACCAGCTCCCTCAGCCTGTAAAGCGAGATGAGCACTGCAACCCCAGAATCGTTTGCAGCTGGACTTAACTGTCAGGGGTCCTTTACCTTTACCTGTTAAGTTCGCAAATGTTTCACTGCCCATGGAGGCTGGTGCATTAGGGCAAAAAGAGCACTGTCCCATCAACTTCAGTCTGCCCTGCTGCCTGCCCTCTTACAACCGGTCCAGAGGGTGGCAGTGCCTGCTAGCTTCCTCCTAATGACTCTCAGTGTTGTGTTGTTGCAGAATTCAGCAGGGAGGAGGATGGGGACAAAACTGGAATTAGTTGGCTGCTCCCATAATTGGTGCTGGCTACACCTGCTTCGACAAACCTAGACAGCATCTTAAAAAGCAGAGACATCACCTTGCCAACAAAGGCCCGTATAGTTAAAGCTACGGTTTTCCCAGTAGTGATGTATGGAAGTGAGACCAGGACCATAATGAAGGCTGATCGCTGAAGAACTGATGCTTTTGAATTATGGTGCTGGAGGAGACTCTTGAGAGTCCCATGGACTGCACGAAGATCAAACCCATCCATTCTGAAGGAGATCAGATCTGAAGGAGTGCTCACTGGAAGGACAGATCCTGAAGCTGAGGCTCCAATACTTGGCCACCTCATGAGAAGAGAAGACTCCCTGGAAAAGACCCTGATGTTGGGAAAGATGGAGGGCACAAAGAGAAGGGGACGACAGAGGACGAGATGGTTGGACAGTGTTCTCGAAGCTACCAGCATGAGTCTGACCAAACTGCGGGAGGCAGTGGAAGACAGGAGTGCCTGGCGTTCTCTGGTCCATGGGGTCACGAAGAGTCGGACACGACTAAACGACTAAACAACAACACCTGCTTCTGTATTACAGTCCCAATGTGGGCAACATGTAGATACATAGGGCAAGGGGGTCGGGAAGATTGTGTTGGACATCTGGCAATAAGCCACTGGGAAGTGACCCTAGCTGTAGAACAGCCTGTCTTTACATGAGGAAGACTCTGTTTTGCTGTTTTCCATGCAGGATAAAATACATAATTGGCAGGCATTTGGTTTGTGTACAGCACAATCCTATACATATCTGCTCAGAAGCAAGTTCATGGGGGCTTTCACCCAGGGAAATGGTTACGGGATTGCGGAGTTAATAATTTGGGGGCTGTTTATATAGTTGTTGCTTTTTTAATTATTGTGTTCTTTTTGAGTGTTGTATGCTACTTTGAATGTCGGGAAAGCTGCCTATAAATGTTTTAGACAAAGAAATAAAAAAGTTTTCGGGTCCAGGCTGTCTGCACCAGAACTGTTCTGTCTCCTGTTTGCTTGATGCCATCTGACAGAGAGGACTTCCGTATGCCAGCAGCTGTAAACTCAGGAATGTTTTAATACCCATCCAGGTTCCAGTTGCCTGCCAATTTCCAAGAGAGGACCACCAAAACGATCTAGCCCAACTCTGCTAATAGTTTCAGTATCAAATGAGTGGTTCCATCCCCAAGCCACTGAACACGTAATATTCAGGGGGACAGGCTTCCATTAACTGTTCAATTGATGCCATTTAAAACACTGGATTTCTCCCCATTTCTTCAGCACATGCCTAGGTGTGGTGTGATTATTGGAACTGCTAGCAACTTATAAGCTTGGAACCAGGGAACTGCCATTCTTTTGTGTGAACTTGTGTGTGTTTCTTTCCTTTGTGGAAAGTGACACAATGGCAACACAACCTGCTGCACTGTTAACCCGAGGTCTATGGTTCTTTCATCCTGCTAAGTGTGCATAGCCTTACATTCATGTGGTGGAACACTCATAATTCTTTTAAAAAATGAAGCAAGGGGAAGAAAATATAGTTGAAATCTTTACACAGCCAAGAAGCTCACTAGGCCAGTTGTCTATTACTCTCTCAGCCTAACCTGTCACACAGGGTTACTGTGAGCCAGTTATATCCACTGCTGGAAGATAGCAATCTTCCTGCTGTCATTCTCACCTTGACCTCTGATACTATTGTAATGTGCGCTCAGGGAGGTTGTGAAGACAGTCTGGAAACTTCAGCGTGTGGAAAATGTGGTCACTCACCAAATGAGGTGAGGCAGGTGGTTACTAGGGAACGGGCCTTTTCAGTGGTGGCACCTCAGCTGTGAAAAGCCCTCCCCAGAGAGGGTTGTACAGCACTCAGATTGCAGACTTTGGGGCCCTAGTTAAAGAGCTTTTTTAAAATTTCCCCCTTTTTATTTTTAGTTACATGTTTATAGTGTGCTTTTGGTTCGTTTGCATTGGTTGTGTTGGTTGCACTGTTAATTTTTAATGTTGTTTTAGAATAATAGAATCATAGAGTTGGAAGGGAAAATGAGGGTCCTCTAAGCCAACCCCCTGCAATGCAGGAATCTCAACACACATTCGCCCATCCAATTTGAAAGCAAACTGGACCTTGCTTAGCTTTGCAAATGTGCCAGCAGTTTTATTTCACTATATGTCAAGAGCAAGGCTTTTTTCCACAGCTGGAACGCACCAGAACGTAGTTCTGGCACCTCTCAGGTGGGCGCCACTGCCATTCTAAGAGAACGAGAGAGGTGTTCACGGTGAATTCTGGCACCTCTTTCTCTAGAAAAACAGTACTGGTCAAGAGCAGTGTGGTATAGTGGTTAGCGTCAAGCTGAGACCTGGGGTCCAATCCCTACTTGGCCATGAAGCTCACTAGGTGACGAAGGGCCGTTCATGGCCTCTCCGCTGTTCCTACCTCACAGGGTTGTTAGGATTAAATGGGGGGGGGGAACCATGAACTCCTTGGATGGAAAGGTGGAACAGAAATGCAATAAACAAGTAAAGTAAAAAAAGATTTGTTTATACCATCTGTAAACTACCCAAGGAGCTATGAAGGTGGGTGGTATAAAAGTCAGGTGTGGGTAAGGAGGCGTAGTATCAGGAAGGATGGACTAAATTTAATGATTATTTAGTTAAATATGTCAAGTTAAATTAATTGGAAACAGCTTGCAGATACTTAATCGGCTTAGGATGTGATGAATTAATATGTTTAAGATCTAAAGATGTTAATATTCAAGTTAAATTTTATAAGAACTGTGATTTGGGAAACCGTTAAAAGGATATGCATTGAAATTCAGCCAAGGGGAAGCGAGGAAGTCACGTAACAATGTTAATAAGTGTAATTTTAATAAGGCTATAATTTATGTTTGTTTGTTTATAATTTTGTGAAAACCAATAAAAAAAATTGAAAAAAAAGAGTAGGCAGACGTGGGTAAACACAAGTACAAACGAACCATAGGTAACTGAAGTCGGGACCCCACCCTAGCGCCCCTTCTTTCCCCCCCGCTCAGCGTGCCCTGCCCCGGGATCCCGCTGCGCCCTCCGCCCTCTCGCATCCTGCCTGCCGAAATCTCGCTCGCTTCCACGGCCGCAGCAACCACATCCTAACCCCACCGCCTCTCACTCACTCACACGCTTCCGACGTTAGCGCACACACGTGTACTCTCCCCTCACCCCGCTTCCTCGAGGGGTAGGAAGGCAACACGCGACGGAGCAGCGGCCGGGGAAGCAAGCAAGCAAGCAAGCAGGCAGGCGGGCCTTGCCCTGTTTGGTTCCCCGGCCGTCGCGGGCGCCTCTCTCAGTCAGCCCTTCCCCTCAGTAAAACCGACGGGCGCTTCCCCTCCCGGGAGCGGGAAAGCGCCGGACCGCCCGGCCTCCCTCAGGCTCCGCCTCAGAGCAGCGCCTCCAGGGGCGTTTCGGGCCGCCCTGGAGGCCGCGTCCCTCGCCTCGGGGCAAAAGGGGCGGCCCCGGGAGTGAGGGCGCTTGTTGTGTCAGCGCCGGCCCGCTAGTGAGGCGAGCGCGGCTTCTGAGGGAGCTTCATTTTCCGCGGAGGCGCAACAGGAGGCCGAGCGAGGGAAGACGCAGCCGCTGCCTCACCTTCGTCGTCGTCGTCGCCTCCCTCGTTTCCCGCCATGGCCGAGGCTCCTCAGCCCGTGGAGACGGACCCCGACTTCCAGCCGCTGCCTCGCCCGCGCTCCTGCACTTGGCCGCTGCCCCGCCCGGAGCTCGCGCCGCCCAGCCCGGGGCAGACCCCGGCTCCCACCCCGGCCAGGGCCGCTTCTCCGCCCCGCTGCGGGAGGGTGGCCGCGGCCCTGTGCGCCTCGCCCGGAGGAGACCTGCTCAGCCTGCTGGAGGCTGGCGGCGGAGAGGGCTTCGAGGCGGCCGCCGCCGACCTAGGCACCCCGGGAGGCTGCCTCTGCGGGGACTTCCCGTGCCTCCAGCACCCGCAGCAGCAGCAGCACCCGCAGCAGCAGCAGCCGTCGGGCCCGGCCTTGGCCTCGGCGTCGGGGCCCCGCAAGAGCAGCTCGTCCCGGCGCAACGCCTGGGGCAACTTGTCCTACGCGGACCTCATCACCAAGGCCATCGAGAGCGCCCCGGAGAAGCGGCTCACGCTGTCCCAGATCTACGAGTGGATGGTCAAGAACGTGCCCTACTTCAAGGACAAGGGCGACAGCAACAGCTCCGCCGGGTGGAAGGTCAGCAGGGGGGGGAAGAACGGGGCGATTTCGTTTATTTTATTTTTTGCAAAAAAAAAAAGTTTGCAAAGTTTGCTTTGGCGTGCAAGCAGGGAAAGTGGCCGGGCTCTGCAAGCTCTGCCTCCCTCCTCGACGGTCCGCGTTGATAGGGCAGCAAAGGGGAGGGTGAAGGTGAAGGAATTGCGGCAGGGTTTTGCCTCCCCTTTTCCTCGCCTCCGCCATCCCAGCAGACCCGGGAGTTGACGGCTGCTCCGCCTGCGTCGCCTTTTCCCTCTGCGCCACTTGCATCCCGACGCTTAGGGCATGCCCAGGCCGAGGGGGGTTCGGTTTGCCCGTGCTTTCGATCTCTCTTCTGAACCCGCCACCCACCCCCTGGCTCTGGGACGTGGGAGAATGCTAAGCACTCGGTGTATCCGAGTAGACGGCCGGTCCCCAGATAGTTCTGTGCCTTCCTGCCTTTGTCAAAGTTGGTCGAGCTGGATGTGTAACTCGGCGCACAGCTGGCTGCAAGTTCGAGCTGTGTCATTTCCTCTGGCAGATTTGAGAGGCCCTTAAAAGTGACGGTGATTCGATCCTACTTAGGGTCGAGTTTGGGGAGGCTCTGGGGCAGTTCAGGAGGAGATAGCTTATTGCTCTGTTCGGCTAAAAACACAGATAGCAGACTGAATGTGTGATGGGTCTAGATGTGTGAACAAATTCGAGGTTAGTACCCTGCTTTTGATTGATTTATTATAACTCTGTGCTGCTTTTCATTCAAATGAACACCAAAGCGGCTTCCAAACAACAACAACATGATAGAACATCACAAATACAGCACAAATCATATAGAATAATTAACAAATCGTCAGTAAAACAATTGCAATCTATAAAAAGCTGTTAACAAAACTAAAGCTAAACATCAGAATTAAAGCAAAAGTCATAGCACATGATTAACAAATCAATACGGCCTTTATAATATATAAAACAATATTAACAGGGTTAATAATACAGCAACCAAGAGATAAACTAAGTACTGCTAAGTTTATGTATAAACACTCTCCACACCCACATTATTAAGTTGGTCTCACCAAGACAGATGTATACAGTGGTACCTCGGGTTACATACACTTCAGGTTACAGACTCCGCTAACCCAGAAATAGTACCTTGGGTTAAGAACTTTGCTTCAGGATGAGAACAGAAATCGCACGGCAGCAGCGGGAGGCCCCATTAGCTAAAGTGGTGCTTCAGGTTAAGAACAGTTTCAGGACCTCCGGAACAAATTAAGTACGTAACCAGAGGTACCACTGTATGCTGCTTTCCTGAAATCTGTTCTGATGGTAGCCATTGCCAGGAAATGCATGTTAATTTCTGCACAGCTTGCTTTGAGAGACTACACAGTAGTATAAATGAATAGGACAATTTCTGTCTGAAAAAGTCTAAACTTACTTTACTAAGGAAACAGTTGCCACACACTCATTTACTAATACAGTAATGTATCTCTGTGTAGATATCCCCTGGTATAAAGTAAAACACGTTGGGATATTTAACCTTTTAATCTTCCTTACAGAGGAAGTTGCTGATTTATTTTGTGGCTGGATAGCATCTGTTGGGTCCTGAACTGCTCATTGGCTAGTGAGGGATCTATTAAGGGGTTTCTTAGGGAAAATATTTTTGAACAGAGCACAGGTAGTTAAGTGGTTTTCTCTGGCATTTATTTATTGCCAAAATAGGGCAATCTAAATTAACACAGTAAGCAAAATTATTGGAGATTGGCAATAGATGTCAGATAACTGTAAATAAAAAAGGAGGCATACAACTGACCCAATATGCTAAGGATAAGGAATTGGCAATCTCTCTGCCAATCTGCTCTTTGGTTGTGCTGTGTGATCCTTTCAATTTCCAACCCCAGAAGAAAAGGAGGAATGTGAGTAAGCTGCATTTTGGGCAATGAGATTTGGTAGCATTTCATTTGGAAGAGGGAAATGAAGTATTGGCCTTTCCACCCCCTCCCCCACTCTTTCAGAGGGAAAAAACAAAACCCTAGTTGCTAATGAGGTGCTTTTCACTTGGTACCCCACATATGAAATCAATTATTGGCTGAGTTAATGCCATGACTGTTTAGCCGTGTGTTAGCTAAGTTTTAGAAATCAAGTTTCCATTTTCAGATAAGCTAAATGTGTATGATGTACATCTTTTTCTGTTGAGCTGCTGGTTGGACTGCAACTCCAGCAACAGTACTTAGAAATACAATAAATCCTGCCAAAGATTTTCTGTTTCAGTAAGAGGGAATAGGGAAGCTTTGAGAGAGTTCACAAGCGGATATTCAGTGGTCAATATTAAGCTACATATATCAACACTTATGTGGTTTAATTTTTTTATGTGCAGAGCCCTGAATTTAATTTATTCATCTGTTATTTACCTTACATAACAATGCTGCAAGTATTTGATAGCCAGGTTGGTACATATGAATTTTCCCTTGTGGAGAAAATAGTTTTTACTGGCTTAGGATAAAATGTAGGTGTTTACCCAGGTAAATACTGTCATATGGTAAAGCTAAGCAAGGCATTTGCTACATAAGTCAGTGCTTCCTGTGCTGGTAGACTGCATCTAATTAGGCACAAGTAATGGCCACACACTTTATTGATGGCAAACTAAAGCTAGACTTTGGCTGATTCTACACAATTTGCATTCTGCCATTTTCATCCTTGATGTGAAACCTGCCTTTGACATATTGTAGTAGTATACAGACTTAGAAATAATCATGCATTCAAAATAAAAGAAAGATTGATTTGTGGCTTCTCTTGAGAGCTTCTCTCTAGGAGCTTTAAATGCCTGTTTATTTTAATGAAAAATGGGAGTCTTGGGAAGCTATGCAACTTTACTAGACGGATACAAAAATACTTTGTAGTTTTTCTATTGCTTACAAGCATAATGAACCTCCTAACTTAGTTCACAGGAGCTGTGCTTGATGCTAACCTCTAAGATACAGTGCACGTGTTTGCATGATCATAAACAGCAATTGTTTTCTCCACTGATAGGCGCTTTTTTCCAATTTTTTAAATTGATTTTCCACATTTATAACAAATATATAAGACACAAAACAAAACACATTAAAATACCAAAAGAAAAAAGAAATAAAAATAAAAGCACTTATTACTTCCAAAATCCAAATTAACTTTCATTGTTATCTAACTTCCTCAAATCCCCTCTAACTGAATTTCATTGTGACTCCTTTGTAACAGTTCTCCAAGATCATCTTTCTAATAAAATTAACTCCTTCAATTTACTATCTTCATCTCTTTTCTTATTGGCTTAAATCCATATTAATATACAACATTCTTATTCTAATCCTAGGCCTATTTGATACTTTCAACTACCTTCTAATTATCTTATATTACAATATTTAGCTAGATAATCTTTAAATTTCTTCCTACACTGATACGCTTTCAGCAAAGTAGATGTCCTTTGTAGTATTGTCTCATATTTGACCTGGAGTAGTCATTGAGATGGTTGCATTCCTTAATAAGTCAGAGTAGAATTTGCCCCTTTTATGATTTTTGATTAGTCATGTACTGGATTGCTTTTCTAATGAGAGCACTGCCCTATCGCTTCCATCAGTTGCTTGCAGTTTTATTGTATCACCTGTGGTGTCATCAGTTGAACTTGCCTCGGTTATTTTTCTTTTGATGGCAGGTGCCCCCCTAACCATCTATCTTATATGCCTGTAAGCAGGCACCAACCCATACCTTAATGTGACCCCCCCCCCGGAAGTTAACATTTTAAATTTGCATTTGTTTTAGATTTCTGTTAAGCAGTTCCCCACAATTATTTTAAGAAGATTTTATATACTTTTTTGTTAAGTTCTGCAGTTGTAAAGGGAGGTGGAAAAAGGAATGCTAAAACACATTTGGTTATACAGTATATTTTGTGGCATCTTTAAAAGTTAATGCAGTGGTACCTCGGGTTAAGTACTTAATTCGTTCCGAAGGTCTGTTCTTAACCTGAAACTGTTCTTAACCTGAAGCACCACTTTAGCTAATGGGGCCTCCTGCTGCCGCTGCGCCGCCATAGCACGATTTCTGTTCTCATCCTGAAGCAAAGTTCTTAACCCGAGGTACTATTTCTGGGTTAGCGGAGTCTGTAACCTGAAGCATCTGTAACCTGAAGCATATGTAACCCGAGGTACCACTGTAGATGGGATAAGCTTTTGTGGGCCAGAGCCCAAAAACAATAACACATCCCAATGAGAACTGTCTGCTTATACTGTCATACTGTTTGTGAGTTATCTGCACCAGTTGAATCTTGTCAGGAAGTACAGTGATTGAAATCTGCATTGTACTTTTGGTGATTTTACTTACTAAATCTAGTCTTAGCAATCCTCTGTGCTTGTGTATCTGAAGAAGTGTGCATGAACACGAACGCTTATACCCAGAACTAACTTAGTTGGTCTCTAAGGTGCTACTGGACAATTTTTAAAATTTATTATGTCTTTTACCATTAGTCAAAAACAATTCTCCATTCCTAGTGGCATTTATGTGAATTCTGGTTAAGTAGATCCTAGTAATCTAGTTTTACTTGTTTCTCTGGACGGAAAAATGAGGCAGGATTATAACTGGTTGCCAAAACAGGAATATCAATACCTGAAAATTAGTTTTAGGTATTTCATATATTTTTTTCCTCTAAATGGAAGGGAGGTTGTGCAATAAAATCTGTTACTCTCCAGTAATGAGGGCTCCTGACATCACCCTTAAGGAATTGATTCTGTTGCCCCAAAATTTCCATTTTCTCAGTGTTTAGTGGACACTATGATCCTCCCCTCCCCACAACATTAGAGGCCGAGTTCTCTTCTTTGGTGACTCTTAAGCACACTGACATTTCTCTATTATTTTTTTGAAAGGGGCTAAACATCAGGAAAAGCTACCCTTTTTCATAACCACTATTTGAAAAGAAAAGGGTCCCATTGCTAGAACACACACCGCCCTGGTTATTATGATTTTTAATGGCAGCAGTGCTGTTTTGGGAGCCCATAAATGTGTTTGGCAGGTGCTAGCCATAAATCTTAACTGGGCCAGCTGTCTCTGGTCGCCCAACACAAAGTGAGAGTCCTCTTCCGTTCTCTGTGTCTCTCTCCCCACATACACACGGCAAATAACTTTAAAAGGCGGAAGAATCTCTCACTTTATACTGGACAGGAGACACAGACCCTTCTTGTCCCGCGAGTATTCTGACAAACTATTTTTATTTATTTAATAGGTTTTATGGAGAACTTGCAGGAAGGGAGGAGTCAGTCTCTCGCTTCACATCAGGCTTTGGAGACACCTCAAAGTGCTGAGGATCTTTCATTGATTCCAAGTGTCTTTAAATCCCAGTGTGAAGTGAGCAATGAATCCCTTTTCTCATCTGCATGTTTTTCTGCACATGCCAGAGGCATATACATAAGAAAGTGCTCTGCTGATAATTCCTTTGTCTGCAAAAACTGGGTTTCCTGGTTGCTTTTTGACGCTTTGCCTATATCTCTCATTAGAGTGGAAGAAGTGACAGCTGCTCACAGGAAACAAGGACTTGGCAGTGATTTGGCAGCGTTGTTTTCCCCACCCCAAAGTGGAATCAAAGCGATAAATTTATACTCCTTCAAACTGTCTTCTTGTATGGGAAAACATTTGTTGTTGTTGTTGTTGTTGTTTCTTCTTTAAAAATTGCTGTGCAAACACATCTTGTACCAGGAACAGAAAAGTAAGCTGCCCAGTGTTGTTATTCCTATTCCTGAAGATGAGGGTGAGGCTTAGAGATACAGTGGTGCCTCACAAGACGAAAAGAATTCGTTCTGCGAGTCTTTTCGTCTTGCAATGTTTTTCGTCTTGCGAAGCACGGTCCGTCGCAACTGCGCCTCTTCAAGCGGCTTTTTAAAAAAAGCGCAAGACGTTTTCGTCTTGCGAAGCAAGCCCATAGGGAAATTCGTCTAGCGAAGCAACGCAAAAACGGAAAACCCTTTCGTCTAGCGAGTTTTTCGTCTTGCGAGGCATTCGTCTTGCAGGGCACCACTGTACTGTCAGTGTTGTAGGTTGGGCATAGTTCATTGTTATCTCCATATTGCAGGCTTGGTAGTTGAGGGAGTGAGTAGTTTACAAGAACCTTGAATTGCAGTCCGTTAGTGGTCCCTGCATTTCAGGCTGCTGTGAGAGGATGAGATTGATAGCGGGTTTCTAATTAGGGTTTGAATAACTGATATCTACTTCATCTGTACTAGTGAAATACAATTGCACAGTAAGGTAAAGGGACCCCTGACAGTTAGGTCCAGTCGTGGCCGACTCTGGGGTTGCGGCGCTCATCTCGCTTTATTGGCCAAGGGAGCCGGCGTACAGCTTCCGGGTCATGTGGCCAGCATGACTAAGCCGCTTCTGGCGAACCAGAGCAGCGCACGGAAACACCGTTTACCTTCCCGCTGGAGCGGTACCTATTTATCTACTTGCACTTTGACGTGCTTTCGAACTGCTAGGTTGGCAGGAGTTGGGACTGAGCAACGGGATTCGAACCGCCGACCTTCTGATCAGCAAGTCCTAGGCTCTGTGGTTTAACACACAGCGCCACCCACGTCCCTTTACAATTGCACAGTACACCTGTGCTATTAACATTAGCATAAGTTGTGGTGGGGATGTGCTGCTCATCCCCAGCTGTGTCAGTGTGGTTGGCACAATGCGAATACAGGCGCAGGAGTGCCAGATGGGCTTCACCAGCATGCTTGCACCACACTGACCTCACCACTTTATTTATTTTGCCTCTCCTGCACTCTGTCCCAGTATATAGCAGCAACTCGGCTGGAGGGAGGTCAGGTGAGTGGTACAGCTCCACCACACCTTCCTCTATGGTTTATTAAGATACAGATAGAGCAGTTGCATAACAGGATATGCAGATGTCACATGAACATGTTTTGCCAAGTGCTCATTGCATAGTCACATTCAAAATAAACTATACAGCAGTAGAAGATGTATCACACAAGTCATACCCCAGGTTGTGGGAAAGGCTGCCTCCTTTGCTGGATCAGGCCTCCCCCCCAACTTGCAAGCAAGATATTGACTGAAGGCAGATGCCTTGTACTCCTTTAAGTTGCATGGAGATGTGCTGTGCACATGCTGCTCTTGGAGAAACTGATGGAAGATGACAAATTAATTTAGAAAGAGGAAGGCATAGGGCACCCTGCTTTTTCCATCTCTGCATCTAGAAGGCTTTGGAAAGAGGAGGTTCTGGAAAGGGCAGCCAAAATGAGCAAGGGGATGAAGGAGCTCTGCTAAGAGGAAAGTTTAAACAACATTTGGGGCTGTAATGTTTACAGAAAAGGCAAAGAGACCTAAGAGAGGTGTATAAAATTGTGGAGGAACTGGACAGAGAAAAATTGTTCTCCCTGTCTCATAACACTAGAACTTGGGGACATCTGGTGAAGTTGAATGTTGGAACTTTCAGGACAAAGAAAAGTATAGAATCATCGAGTTGGAAAGGGACCCGAGGGTCATCTAGTCCAACCCCCTGCAATGCAGGAATCTCAATTAGATCATACATGACAGGTGGCCATCCAACCTCTTCTTAAAAACCTCCATGGGAGGAGAGTCCGCCGCCACCTCTTGTGGGAGTCAGTTCCACCATTGAACAGCTCTTACTGTCAGAAAGTTATATTGATGCTTAGCCAGAATCTCCTTTCTTGTACAGTAACTTGAATCCATCGGTTCGGGTCCTAGCCTCCAGAGTGGGAGAGAACAAGTACCTTTTTCCACAAGGCATGTACTTAAATTATGGAATTTGCTCCCACTAGAGAGAGAGATTGCTGCCCGTGTGGATAGCTTTAAAAGAGGATTACTGTACACAAATACATCAAGGATAAGACTGTCTGTGGAAACTAGACAGGATGGCTGTGTTCTGTCTCCACCGTTGGAGGCAGGATACCACAATCTGAATTCCAGCTGCTGGGAATTCCCAGGTGGGAAGAATGCTGTTGCACACAGGTTCTGAGCTTCCATAGTCCTAGTCTAGGGATTCTGGACTTAGATGGGCCTTTGGCACGACCAGCACGCTCTCCTTACGTTCTTACTTGTGTGGTTGCCATTGGTGGTGACTACAAAATGACTCACAACCAAGGCCAACCAAAATCTAGGGAACTTGGTCTACCCACATTACGTTGAGGTGGGATATTTATAGTGTAGGATTTAGTACAAAGATATCGCCAAGAGGAGGGGGTAGTCTTGTAGGGAGTTTTAAGATTTAACAGCAGAATCTTAGTCAGTTTGAAGAGTTTAGTAAGAATGTTCTGGTAAATTGCTTAGCCCTCTGTTGGCAGCTTGTTTGATTTCTGTGCACGCTTGTGAGCGTGCGCAATGGAGGAATAGACTGCTCTGCCAGTCTTCCCACCAACCCTCTTACTCTTACTGCGTGGAATTCCATGCAGTTCCCTGCAGGCAGTTCTTTGTTGCCTGTGGCTACAAGGCTAATGTTGGCTTACGCACAAGGCTGGAATAAGGAATGTGTTATTAAGTACCCACTTTCCTTCTAGATATGAAAAACAGATGAAAAGCAAAGAAGTGTTTGTTTCTGATTTCAGAAGCAAGAAACAGTGTGATGTTTCTTCATTTTAATATAAGTTGTACATCTCTAGAGTTTAATTTTCTTAGACTGCTTTCCAAAGTTACTTTACATCCTCTTTATCAATGTAGTAAAAACCACAGAACATTGAATAAGTCTAAAGCTACAAAATAGAGGAACGTTTTCAAATAATAATAATAATAATAATAATAATAATAATACAGGAATAATATTTCTGTATTATTTGCTGTTGTGCTTGAAGAATAAGGCTGACAAGTTAGTTGCGGTCTTGTTTAGGAAACGGCTCTTTATCTGGAAATCATGATGGAGGGTGTTAATTAGAATGAGGACACAAATGTGATTTTGACACCTGTCTGCTGCTGCACAACTTGAAAAGCTGCAGTGCTAATAGTAGCTTTCATTCTGTGTCATAATGGGTAGAACTGAAGTCAACAACACAATTCAGGGGCCTTAAATGGGGACAACGTAGTTCAATACGTTCAAGAGACCCTAGAATTTCCCCCCTGCTAATTTCTTTCCCGAATTATCTCCCAGCTTTCTGTAGAAGAGGGTTTAAAACTTTTATCAGTCTAAACTGTAGAGAAAATCTTGCGTGGTGTTTTCTGCTTATCTTTATGGTCCTAAATATTCCTGTGACACTGGCTGTTCACTTCTATATGTCCTCTTGCGCTACAGCAGTTAGGTGGGTGGCCTTGAGCAAATCACTGCCTGATATGTCTTGCAGGGATAGTGTTGGGGGTGAAACGAGAGAATCTTGTGTGTACCTTCCTGAACATGTTGTAGGAAAGTTTTCGAACACGTGGTCAACAAATAAATAACAGTGGTTTGTGGGGTGATGAACTGCGTCAGCCTTCAGGCAATGATCTAATCAATTCCAGTTGATGGTGATCTTGTTCTGTATGACATCTTTCTGGTTTTGCCCTGTAGGTTCTTGCAGAGCTCTTCAGCCAGTTATGCAGTACTGATGCAATTGCAAAGGCGAGCACTATTTTATATACACACAAACACACACAAAAACTGAAGAGGTTGTGAACTGGAATGAATACTAATGTCAGCATCCAATAATTGTTCAGAGGCAATTTTTAAACTGTTTTCTTTTTTATTCTTTTTATCAATTGGGAAGTTTTTAATATTTAATGCTGTATTGTTTTTAACACTTGATTGGAAGCGACCCAGAGTGGCTGGGGAAACTCAGCCAGATGGGCGGGGTATAAATAATAAATTAATAATAATAATATTATAATTTAGTAGACTTAAGTTCTGCCTTTCCTCCATCACGGAACTCAAGATGGCATACATGGGATTCTGGGGTTGTTTCTCATCCAGACCCAGACTTGCTTAGCTTAAGTAAGATGGCTGCATCCTGTGCCCTCAGACCATTTCCTGATTCTGCCTCCACCTTCCCCATTCTATTTCCTCTGACTGTTCCTCATTTCCAACATGCTACCTACTACTGTAGTGATGCTACCTTTATGTGCCTGCTCAGCAGTTTAGAGCCATTCAGGATAGTTCCACTGCACTGTTTCTAGGGGGATATATTGCAGTTCTGTGACAACTGCATGTGGTTTCCCTCTTTTCCCTCTCCTGGCTCTGGAGCCAAGTGAGGATTCCCAGGTAAAATCCTCCCTCTATTGTGTGGGCAGGTAGTCCCTCCCCCACCTGGCCTGGTCTCCTTGGCAACGGTTCCCCCAGGTGGGATTGGACAGCTGACTGAGGTAGGTGGAGACCTCCAGGTATCCCACCTGAGGGAAGGGGAAGCCAAGCCTATGCTGATGGAGCCGCTCCAGATCCAGGGGCTGCGCGCGTCCACGCAAAGGGCGCCCCCCGTTTTTATGCGGGGAACGGTCATTGCAGTTCTGTGACAACTGCATGTGGTTTCCCTCTTTTCCCTCTCCTGGCTCTAGATATCTGCCAGCCCACAGATGCAGAGTGTCAGAGCCCAGGTACTTGTTGAGCACATGGTGGCAATAGCACTGCTTCTCTGAATAGGAAGAAGGGTCAAGATGGGCATTCAGGTATTGCTGGGTCTGGGGAGAGAGAGAAGAAAATGCATTGTGCCACTTGGCTGCTTTCCTTCAAAGGGCTGGTAACTGCACAGTTGTTAAAGTGGATTATTTAAATAAGGTTAAATATTTGTACTTTAACCAGCCATGCTAAAGAAATCCTGCAAATCTGATATCCCTACTATGCATTTCTTTACAAGATCACAATCTGCTTTTTATTGGGTGTGTTTTTTTGGGGGGGGTGTCTCCTGTTCTGGGCTGGGGGATTTATTGACAAATATATTCTGATTTGACCCTTGAATAGCTTCTCAGATCCCCAGATGTCCGTATTTCTTCTTTGGCATGGTGGGGAGCGTTATTGATCTACCTCTAGTTACGGTATATTTTAATGGTAAAATAATGAGAGGAAATCACCTGCCCTCACCTCCACGGGAAAAGAAACTGATATTGAGATAATTATATAGGCCTTTTCAAGGGTCAAATCAGAGGCTATTTGTTACTTATCTGATCTGAATCATCAGGAAGCAGTAAAACTGGCTGCACCTTTCAATGAGATTAGAAGGGACCTTTGTGGACTGGAACTTACTTATGAGTAGACATCATAGAAGGGCCTTGGCTAGGAGAAGAATGTTGGTTGGTGATGTAACAGCATTTTAAATGCTTTGTGAACCCTCCATTTAAATTCCATATCCAGGTAATTTTAAAAAAGTGACTCCTCAGCTTCAGTGAAGAGTTCTAGTACAGAAACTCCTCATGACATTTAAAACATTTCCTCAGTGCAATTAAGCGGTGCTACAAGGAAACTAATCAATGTAGAACACTCCCATTCATTTTGCTCCTCCCTAATAACCAGGTTAAATGCAAAGTAAAGACTTGACATAGATGTATTTTGAAATTTGTGATTTTAATTGATGTTGGCACAGGGCTATAGATATATGGACACATGGGGTGCTCCAAGTAAGAGACCTGAAAGGTTTGGGGTGGAGCAGTGGTGAAGATCCCACAGGAGGACTCAGACAGAAATGGAAGCAGGGCCACAAATATAACACAGAATGGTATACAAAGGTTCAAGCTGGGGTGCCCATCTGGAAGAGGCTGGAAGGGACATTCATGGGAGCAGCAAGGAGCCAGGCAGACAAGGAAACTGGAAGTCTGGGAGGAAAACAAGTGGGGAAACCAAAGGATAGATGGCTGGGCTGACTGGTCTTCTAAGAGACCAGTCTAGATAGAGAAAGGCTAGATAGATAGATATAGAATTTGGCTGGTACAATTAAGGAGAACCAATAAGTTGTCTGTGATGGATAGAGCTCTTAGGAGGACACACTGCCTGTTTTTCTTCACTCTGCAGTTTCACATAGCTTATCATAAGGGGTAACCTTTTAACAAATAGGAGCCTCCTAGTTTGAGTGGTGGAAGATCTTGATAACTACACAGAGAAGTGGACCACATCCACACTACATGTTTGAAGCACTATTGTGCCACTTTAACTGTCATGGCTTCCCCCAAAGAATTCTGTGGTTTGGTGAGGGTGCTGAGAGTAGTAACGAAACGTGCATTTTCCTCACAGAACTACCGTATTTTTCGTTCTATAGGGCGCACCGGCCCATAGGACGCACCTCGTTTTTTTGGGGGGGAAATGAATAAAAAAAATTATTCCCCCCCCCCGCCGCGGCTGCCGCCCCAAGCCTTGTGCACACCTGCAAGAAGCACGGGGCACCCTCCGGAGGGCTCCCCGTGCTTCGGGCGACAGGCTGCCGCCCCAAGCCTCGCGCGCTCGGCGGGACCTCCTGCCGGGCGCGCAAGGCTTGCGGACACTCGCCGGGGCTGCAGGCTGCTGCCTGCAAGCCTTGTGAGCCCGCGGGAACTCCCACCGGGCTTGCAAGGCTTGCGGATAGCTTCCTGAAGCCTGGAGAGCGAGAGGGGTCGGTGCGCACCGCTGCCTCTCGCTCTCCAGGCTTCAGCGAAAGCCTGCATTCGCCCCATAGGACGCACACACATTTCCCCTTCATTTTTGGAGGGGAAAAAGTGCGTCCTATGGAGCGAAAAATACGGTACAATTCTTATAGTTCCCTGGGAAGGAGGATTGACTGTTATACAACTTACGGAATTGTAGCCCTAAAAGGGGAACTTGATTTATTTTATTAACACAATTTATTAGGTACCAGTTGATTGTAATAACACCTCTAAGCGGTTTACGATAAGTATTAAGAATATTAATGAAAACTATTAAAAATATGTGGAGAGCATTAAAATTGTAGAGATTAAAACATGCCAGAAACTATGCATCTGGATAGGGTTGCCTTTTAAAAATGCTTTAAGCAGGCGCTGAAAAGACATATGTCAATAGGCAGGGAGTTCCACAGTCTTGTTGCTGCCAGACTAAAAGTTTGATCTTACAACTGCAAACGTGTATTACGTGGCACCTGTAGAAATTCCTCTTCCACAGATTGCAGCAGTTGAATGGGCACATAGGGAGTAAGACAAATAAGCTGGCTCCACACTGTTAATAACACCTTGAACTTTGCACGGTAACAAATCAGGAACCAAAATGCAGAAAATAAAAATGAATTGATACAAATCAGCAACCGGTGCACATCTCTTAGTAGAGGTGTTATATGTTGACAAGGTCTCATCCTGTCAGCAATCGTGCTACAGCATCCTGCACTAACTGCTGTTTCTGGGTCAAGCACAAGAGAAGCCACTCAGGGAGGGTATTGCAAGTATGTGGTAATCCAATCTTGAAGTTACCAGTGCCTGAACCACAGTGGTCAAGCTCTCCCGGTCCAGGAATAGTGGTCATGCAGGTACAGTTAGTAAAATATGTTTTTAAGTTACTGAGGCTACCTGGGCCTGCAGTTACAAAGCTGCATCCAGTAGCACCCTCAGATTGCATGCTTGCTCCTTCAGGGGGAGTGCCAAGTGTAGGAAGCTCCCAGAATTCCTTGGGAGAAGCCATGACTGTTAAATTGGTATAATAGTGTTTTAAGTGCATGGTGAGGATGTGCTTTTGGAGATGGATAGTTGTGGTTTCCAAGTAATTGGTGTACTGGATGGTGGAAACACCTTGTCCATGTCAGTTGTTTTCTTGTGCAAAGTAAAACTCCAATACAGGATATTTATGTACAGTTGTACCTCGGGTTACAGACGCTTCAGGTTGTGTTTTTTTCGGGTTATGGACCGCCGAAACCCAGAAGTACCGGAACGGGTTACTTCCAGGTTTCGGCGGTTGCACATGCGCAGAAGCACTAAATCACGCTTTGTGCATGCGCAGAAGCGCCATCTGCGCATGCGCAGTCGCGGGTTGCGATCGCTGCGGGTTGCAAACATGCATCCCGCACGGATCACATTCGCAACCCGAGCGTCCACTGTATATAGAAGTTAACCTGTTCTTCATCTGTAAAGATTCCTTGTGTGGTTTACCTTGGATCAGCAACAAGCAGGACAGTCCCTGTTCTCAGGCTTGCAGTCTAACATGCATGAAAAAAGGGATGAAGAGGAAAACAAGCAAACTCATGTGCCAGCTCTTAAAGCTGCGAAGTTCTTATAACAACCAGCTTGATAGAAAACAATTGTAGAAGAGGAGCAAAATGGATATGATTTCTCAGCAGAGCTGGTTGAGTGGCCTTGCTTCCTGTCTCTCCCTCTGTTGCAGCCTTAAAAAGTCCAGATTTCTCTGTGTATGGTCATTCATTGGCTGAAAGTTATTTTTGTCTTACCTGCTGATTAAATTAGTTGGGATGAATGTATAGTAGGAATGCATGTACAGAGGAAGGAGACAAATATTCTCATCTGTCCACCTACCACTGGCATAGAAATGATCTGCCATTTAGATTAATTTTGGCAAAAGTAGACTGATACTTAAAAAAATATTGGCATGATTTTGGGGTGATCTGGGGATGTTGGCTAGTAGAACATACTTTTGTTTTATTCTTTCTCTGATTCTCTTACTGCATTCCCAGGATTAAGTCACCGTAATATTAATTGCATGCAAAGAGATGGTTTCTATAGGGCTCGTAATGAAAATATCTGCACAGGGCACATGCCACAGAGCAGGTGTGCTTTTCCAAAACTCTCTGTATCTACAAATCCACAGTGCTTCTGCCCTTAGTTTGTGCTAGTGCTAGGAAAGTTATAAAGTTATTTAGAAGTGTGGGGAAAGGATGCAGTGTCGGCATGAAGTCTTCTATGCCATGTACCATATTTTTCCGTGTATAAGATGCCCCCTATTTTTTTTAACCCAAAATTAAGAAATTAAGTTGTTTAGCTTTTTTTGGTGTGGGGGGGAGGTAACTTCCACCAATCGTTCACCCGCCTGCCCGCCACTGCTGATCGCTTGGCACAGCCACTGCTGATTGCACACCTCACCGCAGCCGCCAATTGTCTGCCCGCTCGCTGCCACCAACAGCCCGCCCACCCACTTGCCGCAGCCGCCAACTGCCCCAGCCAATCGCCAGCAGGCCTTGCCGCAGCCACCAATCACCTGCCCAATCGTCGCTGCCAATCTCCTGCTTGCTGCTGTCATTAATTGCACATCACCCATCCTTCTGCATTCACTATCCGTGTATAAGAAGACACCCAATTTTTGCCTAATTTTTTAAAGCAAAAAGCATTGACTTATACATGGAAAAATACGGCAATTCTTGCTTGTGGGGGAAGGAGCTGCTTTTTCCATGCTTCCACTTTTATACCATTACTGAATTTTGTGCCAGTATTTTAAAAATTTGGATCATTTTGTCACAGTCAGGAATAGCAAAGGGCAAAAAGAAGAGTCGTATCAGCAAAAATAGTACAGAGTTATCCTTGGTCTTCAGCAGATGCTGCTCACACTTCTTCAGATTTTCTCCTGCAGTCACAAAAGTTAGATAAAAAGACTGAAATCCAAACCTTAGATTTCCAGCAAAGCATATTCTTTGCAAGGTTTTACCCAAGCAGAACTGCCTAGTTTGTTGTTGCCTACAATTGCAAGAATGCATTGATTCTACATACCCATTGTGACAGTAATGGTTTTAAAGAGTAGCTGTTGATATGCACTTCCAGTGCTAGGAAGAAACTTCCAAGAATAGTATTGAATATATTTTATGTGTTTCCACAAACTGTGATGTTCAACAGAATTGAAAGGCACTATCAGAGGCTGCTGGTTTGCACCTGAAAATGTCACAGTTTGCTTAGGCAATGAACATCTTGCTCTTTTAACTAGGCTCTGTTCCTTATCTCTGAGCTACACAGGGTGTGTCTCATAAGAAGGCAGCTCAGTCTACACCGCATCCTGAGACCTGCCACTCTTTGTTCTGATTAGCTCACAATTCACCACCATTTCCGGTTTCATGCTGAAAATGCTGCGCCTCATTAATGAGGTATTTCTGCCATTCGTCTGGATGGAAATACCTCCTTTTCTTTGCCATTGTTTCCTTTATTAACTGATTATTTTAGTACATTTGTCTCTGTAAGCCGAGGGTGGACAACTGTTTTGCTCCGGAGGGGGTGGGGGTAAGGAGGTGAGGCACGTGCTGGCAGTGGGGGCCGGGTTGGCAGTCATTGGGGGCAGAACATGAGCTCCCTCTCTTGCCCTCCTCAGTTATCTCTTGTGCACCCCCTAAATAAAACTATCCACTTGTTTTCCCACCCCCATCTTGGTACATGGGAGATTTAAGGATCCCTTCCCTTTGGCACCGAGATTGCTCCATGCCTCCCTGCTGACAAGTTCGTAATGTTGGGAACAGCGAAGGAGCCTTCGAATGGCATGGGGGACAGAATCAGAAGGGAGAGGTTTCACCAGAAGTTGGCCACTGGCTCATTGTGGCCTGTGGGTTGTATGTATGGGCTGTAAGCAGAAGCTAGATCTGACAACTTAATGATCCAGATGACCTGGTATTCACAATTTCTCGTTGAAGTTACTGTGCTATGGCACACTGTGTCTTATATTAGTGGGTAAGGTAAAGGTAAAGGTACCCCTGCCCGTATGGGCCAGTCGTGTCCGACTCTAGGGTTGTGCGCCCATCTCACTTAAGAGGCCGGGGGCCAGCGCTGTCCGGAGACACTTCCGGGTCACGTGGCCAGCGTGACGAAGCTGCTCTGGCGAGCCGGCACCAGCGCAGCACATGGAAACGCCGTTTACCTTCCCGCTATAAAGCGGTACCTATTTATTTACTTGCACTTAAGGGTGCTTTCGAACTGCTAGGTGGGCAGGAGCTGGGACTGAAAGACGGGAGCTCACCCCTCCGCGGGGATTCGAACTGCCGACCATGCGATCGGCAAGCCCTAGGCACTGAGGTTTTACCCACAGCGCCGCCCGCGTCCCTTTTATATTAGTGGGTAGGTGCTTGCAATTGTGATATTAACAAGATTTTAAAATAAACAAATTGAAAAGTCCAAAACCTGCCAGTCCTGGGTAGTGGCAAAAATAACTGTGTACGTATGGATAGAAACAAGAAATGAAAAATTCCAAAAGCAAAAGGAGAACTTGAATTGGAACCCACACCAAGCAGATATTAACAAGCTTACTGTGTCCCTTTGTGGCTGGAAAATAACCTTGGCTAAGGTCTCACTATGCCTCCATAGTGGTTTGGGGGATTTCTGTTCTGAATTTATTTGCTTCATTAAATTCAAAGCTCCCAAAATTCAAAATGAGTAATTATTATATACATAAAATGAACAAATTACCCCAAAACACAGTAAGAAAATTATCCAAAACTTTTGACATTGAACAGCAGATTAAAAGTGTCATGCTAGAGCTCGCTCATGAATATTTTTGTGATTGTAAGTAAAGCCCATTTCTTTTTGAAAATGTTGAAAATATGTAGCCTTCATCAGAGTTCAGAGTTCCACTTTGAAGGAATCCAACCAAATGGAAATAGATTCCTTAAGCACAACTGCAAAGCTGGAAAGCACTACACCTTGCCCCCAACTATTCCCCCACAATCTTGGCTGGTACTCAGGCATGGACAGCAACAAGCAGTGTTATAAACTCAGATATGAAAGCTAGGATCTGAATGGCACCTTAAACCGAGGTTATGGGCGCAACAATGGAATGTCTAGGCGGGCTTTTTTATAACAAGAATACAAAACTGAAAATGAATGAACTGCAGCTAAAATATTGTGTTCATTTTTCACATGGTCTAGTCCAGTGTTTTTCAACCACTGTTCCGCGGCACACTAGCGTGCCGCAAGATGTTGCCTGGTGTGCCGTGGGAAAAATTGAAAAATTCGAAAGATTAAAAAAAATAAAATTCAAATTTTCGCCCACTAGGCGGGCGCCGGACTGTGTCCTGGGTATGGGGTGGGGTTTTTGACCCCACCCTCGGCCAGCAGGGGCGCCGATTGGCGCTCCTCAGGGGGACACCCTCCACTTTTCTGATGTCCGGGCTGTGATTGGTCCAGACTCCAGCCTGTACCTATCACAGTAGGACATCATCTTCCGACTTCCTTCCCGCCCGAGCACAGTGTGCGCAGCAGCGGAGAGAAGAAGACGTCACGACTCGAGTCACCAGGAGGACCGGAGAAGTTGTCATTTTATTTCTCTTCAGTCTCCTCTGAATGCCTTGACTGGGTTAGGGACCCTTATAGCTCAGCATCAGTTGGTGGAAAGGACATGACTTTACAGGAGCAGGAGGAACTAACTGAACTGAGACAAAATCGTGGTTTCAAGCTAAGATTTGCTGATCTACCTTTGGACAGTTTTTGGTTGGATACTGCCAAGGAGTTCCCCCTCTGGCAAACAAAGCTATTTTGACATTGCTCCCATTTTCCACTACATATCTGTGTGAGATGAGCTTTTCAAGCATGATTGCTATAAAAACTAAATACAGAGAGAGACTGAGAGCTGTTGACAAAGAGCTACGTGTGTGTCTTTCTTCGATTCCAGCCAGAATATCAGCTTTGTGTTCAGCCAAACAGGCCCAGGTTGCGCACTGAATAAAGTATTTTATAATTTTTCATACTTCTGTTTACTTACTATTTCATAATAAAGTAATTATAAAATACTTTCTTTGTGTTTATTTGATTCCTATTCAAGAGAATTACTTTATATATAGTCAATATAGGCACAGAGTTAATTTTTTTAACATTTTCTAATGGTGGTGTGCCTCGTGATTTTTTTCATGAAACAAGTGTGCCTTTGCCCAAAAAAAGTTGAAAAACACTGGTCTAGTCCTTCCCCCGCCCACCCACCTAATATTCTTAAGGGGGTCTCTTCTCCAGTCTTCAGAGAGTAGCTGGAAGTGAGGAGACAGAAAAAAAGTCCTCTTTTCCTTCCACTCTGCTGTTTTAATCTGAAATCTTGGGCGCAGTATTGCACACAGAGCTCAGAAACTGCTTGCACTAGTGAAATTCCCTGTTGCAAAATGCGCCTAGAACAATGGGAGTTTCGAACACTGGCAACAAGGTGCAGGTTAAAAGCAAGCTCAGCGGGAGGCGAAGGGGGCATTGGGACGTGGAGGAAAATCGCCACCTTTCAGCAATAGCTCTCTAGTGGGAGGCTCCAGCATCCCTGCAAATCTCTCCCTACCTGCCTAACTGGCGGTGTCCCCAGGCATTCCTTTCTCACCTTTGCAGCAAGGATACAGTGAAAGATGGTTGGAGCATTGGTTGAATTGGCCTTGCATTGGCCAATGCCTCAAGGAACAGCAGCCAGGCTCCCTTGGTAGTGGCAGGCACTCCAGGCGATGCCTCAATGAACTCAAGAATACAGTGGTACCTCGGGTTACAGACACTTCAGGATACAGATGCTTCAGGTTACAGACTCTGCTAACCCAGAAATAGTACCTTGGGTTAAGAACTTTGCTTCAGGATGAGAACAGAAATCGTGCAGCGTCATTAGCTAAAGTGGTGTCTCAGGTTAAGAACAATTTCAGGTTAAGAACGGACTTCCAGAATGAATTAAGTTCTTAACCCGAGGTACCACTGTACTGCCTGTGTGGGAGTGGGGCGTGTGTGTGTTGCTCCATGCAACTCTGCACTTGACCTGCAAATTTTCCAAGTCCGGATCCTTATGTAGCACAACCCACACATAAGAGGAGGCTTTCAGTTCTGTTGTGTTCTTACGTTCTGTATTTTTGCTGCTTTTCTACGTTATTGAGTATATTGTTCTTTTCTCACCTCCTTATCTGCCCTGAGAGCATCGTGGTGTGGTTGTGCATTCCAGTGCTTTGTTTCCCCACAAACCGATTTGTAGTAGCTTTTTTTTAGAAAAACAAGCAAACAAACAATAAACTCATTCTGGAGAAACAAAGCAGCGCAGGAGCTTTGAGAGTTACTGTACCTTTAATTAAGGTTTTTGGCTTGCAGGTCTGCCAGTTCTATTGCTTCCTGCTCAGCCTGGCTAGGGAAATAGTGATTGATTGCTGATTAATTAGCCGGGGTGGGGGTGGGGTCAAGTACAGTACTGATTTCCTTGTATTTTTTAATTGATTTAAAAGCAAAATAACTTGATTTCACTCTAAAAGAAAATAATAATATAAAAAAACCACCATTTAACCCTTCCAAGAGGGAACAGAAGCTGACTAATGGGCTATTAATTGCTATTATTCCATCTTTGTTGAACAGAAATAAATAAAGCTGACAGAATTTGCAGGAGGACACCTTTAAATTTGCAGTGCAGGGGAACTTTCCAGAGCAGGACTGATTTCTAAACATTATAGAAGGCTCTTGGAAGTGGGGAAGCACATTGCTGGACAATATAGTAGCATATTAAGGGCTATGTGGAACCAGTTTTTCAGTGTAGAGCTTTTATGGCAACTGAAACTATTATCAGAGTTAATGCAGCAGGTGGATATAGGATTGCACCTTTGATTGTGCTTCTTGCAGCTAGAGGAACAGCAAAAGCTCAGCGACGCTAAAAGGCTCTGTAACCAAAGCAGTCTACGCCCAAGCTTTCTCTTAGACATAAGGGACAAGGTGCTTTATAGCAATGGGCTCGTGCAGCCCTGGCAAAGCATGTTTTGCAAAGTTTCTCCCACTTTTAAAATAATTAGCATGCTAATGTTTTCCCTTCTTAAGATAGCTTCCTTCTTAAGTTCATTGAATGTGTTGAAAACATGCTTTTCTTTTCCAGCATGAATTGAAGTAAGGGTCTTTGTTTGAATGCAAGTAGCAAGGCAAACTGATTCAGTTATTTTTACACTTTCCTGTAAAAACAGCATCTGTGAGTGCACCACAATGGGTCGTGATGTATTTCCTCTAGCAGGATGGAAAATAAGCCATTTATTATTTCAGCTCTGACTTGCTGGGAACCTTTTGACCCTCAGGCCTTTAAAAGCAAAATAATAGGGGATACTAGAACAGCAACTTGGGTGCCAAGTGAGGGGTTACCTGCTGCTTGTAGTGGGCTACAAACAAGATACCGTATTTTTCGCTCTATAAGACGCACCAGACCACAAGACGCACCTAGTTTTTGGAGGAGGAAAACAAGAAAAAAATATATTCTGAATCTCAGAAGCCAGAACAGCAAGAGGGATCGCTGCGCATTGAAAGCAGCAATCCCTCTTGCTGTTCTGGCTTCTGGGATAGCTGCGCAGCCTGCATTCGCTCCATAAGACGCACACACATTTCCCCTTACTTTTTAGGAGGGAAAAAGTGAGTCTTATAGAGCAAAAAATACGGTACTTCTGATTTCTGAAAGATTGTCCTGACCATCAAATTAAATGACCTCTGTGCAGATTTACAGTACAATAGGTAGGCAGGGACTTCATTAAAATGTATTTGCTCTTGAAAAGGGTCTGAAGGTAATTTGCCGAGAAGACAAAGAATCAGACTAGGGAAATGTACGTAACAGTGGAGGAGCTTCTGGGGGAAGGGAATAGGAAGCCTAGTTATAATCACTCTGCTGGTTTAAGCAGGTACCACTTTAAGGGAACGCTCCAAACCCAAGATGCTCCAGGATGAGTGAGTTAGGATGTGGTAGATCTCTGGCTCAGCTGTCCAGATCCCAGCAGAACCAGACTATGCCAATTTAAGTACCACATCCCAGCTAAGCCAGGGCTCATCTGGTGAGCCCAGAACAATGGTGTAATCCTTGAAAAATCAGCAGTCCAGGGAAGGGGTTAGGCAGGGAGGACTTGTGCTGAATCGCAGCTCCTTTCAGCGCAGTCATGTGACCTGGCAACCTGGCAGAACTTGCCTTTATCTTAAAGCCTTGTTTTCTTTATGCCAGGCTTAGGCCGGCTCAGCTGGCAGTAGCCACGCTCCTGAACAGGGGTAATTTATGCTGCCTTAATTTATTTAGAGGACACGGGTGGCGCTGTGGGTTAAACCACAGAGCCTAGGACTTGCCGCTCAGAAGGTCGGCGGTTCGAATCCGTGTGACGGGGTGACTTCCCGTTGCTCGGTCCCTGCTCTTGCCAACCTAGCAGTTCAAAAGCACCTCAAAAAGTGCAAGTAGATAAATAGGTACCGCTCTGGCGGGAAGGTAAACGGCGTTTCCGTGTGCTGCTCTGGTTCGCCAGAAGCAGTTTAGTCATGCTGGCCGCATGACCTGGAAGCGGTACGCCGGCTCCCTTGGCCAATAAAGCGAGATGAGCACCGCAACCCCAGAGTCGGTCACAACTGGACCTAATGGTCAGGGGTCCCTTTACCTTTACTAATTTATTTAGGGTTGTTCTTATGTACTTGAACTGCAGTGAGCGCTCAAAATAAAAATATAACATATCAATTGCTTTGTAGTTCAGGTCCTCTATAATATTTTCTGCTTCACCAAGGGTAATAAAATATGCATGAAATAAAGACAGTAAGTATATATGATCCCTACTCAGATTTCAGTCTTTTCAATCTGTGTCTGAGGAAATGGAGCAGGATGCCTTATTTATTCAACAGGAGGTCATCTCAGTAGCCTTGGAAAAATCCTGCAAGAATTGACTTTAGTGTTCTGGCCAAACTTTCATTCAGTAATTACCGACTGACTTCTAAAATTAACCTAAAATTCTAGCCAAAGAAAGCTCAGCTTTGTTTTCTTTCTCATTAAGTGTTAACAATGGCTGCTGATTTCCACTATGGAAGCTTTGGGAGCAAGCAGCAAGTTCAAAGCTGGTTTTCAGGAAGAAACATCTTTACTCCTGTCAGATTCTGTGAACACAAACACACTTCTGTCTTTCTTTATACTGCAGTTTGGTAGAGTGGATAGCATTTGTAGTATAAGTTTGGGTTCTGCAGATGAAGGTTCCATTCCCATCTCAGTTCCTAAAACCTCTGCATCCTTCACAACCGAGTGCCTTACAGTTCCCATCATTCCATACCATTGGCCATACTTCATGGGAGCTGGTCCAAAACATCTGGCGGGCACCAAGTTGAGAAACTATAAAGTTGATGCTATCTCTTGAACTAGCCTACCTCATACTTTTATCATCAAGATAAGGTAATATAATGTGAATTAGCCCTGAGCATCTAGGATATAAGGAAAGGAAGAGGAAACTAAGAAATTTCCCGTTATATGAAATTTCCCATTATATTCTGCTGACATCAGCAGCAGGGTGAAATAGCATCCAGAAGGATTGAACTCTCCCATCAGCTGATGAGTGGAAGTTTTATAAGGACAAGCTGATGAGCAGGGTTAAATCCTGTGGCTTTGGCTTCACACGCCAACTCCCTGTCGTGAACTTGTGGGGTGCAGACAACACAGAATTGAATCCCACCTATCAACTAATGTCATCTGCCCATCAGAGTAATGTCAGCTGTCTGCCAGGTGGGCATAGTTTGGGGAAAATGAGCCGAGTCCCCCCCCCCACCTGGTTTACATGAATATAAAAGGAAATCTGCATAACTTCCTTTTGTCCTACCATTGATGCTCAGGATCAGAACAGTAGTTGAAAATGTACTTGGAAAGAGTAGAATGACTTTTATGACCTAGTTTTACTCAGGTGTGAAGACTTGAATATAAGGCATTATGTGGCACTAGAATGATTATTCTGGTGTATTCTGTGGACATATATGACAAATCCAAGGTACACTTCTGAGAGTGTTGCCATCTCCACGAGAAAAGCACAAAGGGCTTTCATTGCTTACGAATTGCTTCTTGCCTTCTTCTGATGACCTTTGGTCTGGTTTGGAGATACAAGAAGAAGCAAGTATAATGCACCTGCTGTCCTAACTCAGTGGTTCTCAGCCTGTGGGATGTTGTTGGACTACAACTCCCATCATTCCTGACCACTGGTCATGCTGGCTAGGAATGATGGGAGTTGTAGTCCAACAACATCTGGGGAACCACAGGTTGAGAACCACTCCCTTCTGGTTGACCTGTTCATCTCTTCCATCAAATGACTGTGACGCAGATGTTCTGCTACAAGTCTAACATCACAATCCTATGTAGGTTGACTCATTAGTAAATCTCATTGAAATTGAAATATATACAGTATAGTACTTACTTTGCATCAAACCTTAACTGATCTTTCTACTTTGACTCATAAAATACATCATTTACAGCTTAGTAAGAATATAAAGTGATATTCTTTCACATATTTCTGAAATTTAAACCCATAAATCCCATAGTTTTATAAGCACAGTTCCCCTGTGGGTCTTGGTTAGAGCTTTCAGATTGTTCCTCAGAGGCTTTTGCACCCAGAACATTTTTTTTCCAGAGTTAGGTAAGGCTTGCCTTATGTCAGGAAAATTCCTGACATGTCCTGGTTTTCAGGTGCAGAAATGGGATTTTTCTAGAACTGTCACGGAAACCCTGGATGTATGGCAACGTGATGGAAAAAAAACAGCAAAAATCAGGTTTGTACCCAAAAATCAATTCAATAGCTTATCAATTTTTGTTTCTTCTTCTTCTTTAAAAAAAAGCTCAACAATTTTGGTGGTTTCCTAAATCTTTGGGGGTGTCAGGAATTTTAGTTTTTGAAATGTGGCAACCCTAGGTTTAGCCCACCTTTTTATCTTCCAGCAAGGCAGGGTAGTAATAAGTTGCTGTTTCTGCGGGTGCCTCTGTCACAATCACTTGAGGGAAGAGGTGAAAATATAAATCGCAAGGGAGGGGCCAGGTCAAAACAGAACAGATGCAGGATGCTGTTTATCTCCAGTCTAGATCAAAGGACACCAGAAGGCAGAGCAGCAATTCACAGTCCGTGGAAGCTCTGTGTGCTCCCCGCATGAAGAAGGCAGGACCCTCAGGGTACGGAAATGCATCTTGAATTTGTGGGTTGTATATGTCAGAATTATCATTCTCTAATGCCATGGATTATCTTACATAAACAAATCTTTTACATCATTGCATTTATTCTAAAAGAGAATAACTCACAAGAGGGTTTTTTGTTCCCCCAAATTTCTAATTTTCATTTGGGAAAAGTCCTTAAAAACTAAATTTCCTCCCCTGAAATTTTCAATTTTTAAAAATGTGATTTGTTTTGTTTTTGCCCAGGCCCCTCCATCTCTCCCCCTCTCCCATTTTTTACCTCACTCATCAAAATATATTTTTAAATTTAACCCCCTCCCAAGTAACTTACTAGACTGAGCATGAACGGTCAGATGACTATCTTTGCTAAAGCAGTGCCGTGTTATCTTTTCTGACTGTTTTACACTCAAGTTTTAGGGAATTTTTAGTAGGTTAATTGCGAAGCTAACTAAGACATTCAGAAAGGTCATGTAGGAACGCAGATGGAGGATTGCCTAGTTACATGCTTCCCTCATAATAAAAAACCCAAAAACCAATTCGCTGTCTATGTGATGGCCAAACTTGGCCCTCCAGCTGTTTTGGGACTACAATTCCCATCACCCCCGACCACTGGTCCTGTTATCTAGGGATGATGGGAGTTGTAGTCCCAAAACAGCTGGAGGGCCAAGTTTAGCCTTTTGTTAAGCTGGTAGGAGCGCCTCCTGTTCCTTAGTCCTGAAGCAGCTTGTGAATGACACTAAGGGGACATATCATTTAGGAGCAGAAACCAACTGCATTACAGAAAGCATACAATTCATGAAGGAAATATGTTCTGTATATGCTCAGGGACTCACTGCCCTTGAGTCCATTTTTGAAAAATTTCGTTAACCTTGGAAAAACTCTGCACATACTCAGGAGCCGCTCATCCATATAGTTATTGTAATTAATCTCTCTTTGTTGTAAAAGACCTAGTAATGTTTGACTGGTCAGATAAACCTATTTTTTGCTCTACTTTCTCCTGCTTGCAACTTCGTCTTACATGTAGGTTATTATAATTTTTTTAAGGACTGTATTCCTCATGGTTTGAAATCCAGTGTGTTATTGATCTTAAGAGGCTCTTATGGCTTATAAGTCAGCTCCACGAAGGTACCCTTGCCAGAGTGAGACTTACCCCTGCGGGCGACCTCACAAATTCGATACCAATAAACAAGGGAGTGCGCCAAGGATGTATATTGGCCCCCTGCCTATTCAATCTATTCATCAGCGACATGCGAGCACCCCTAGTCAACTCATCTCATAGTACACATGCGCATATACTAGCTGGATTACCGCTGTCCACTCCTTTTATATGCGGACGACGCGGTAATTCTATCTTATACACGTGTTGGACTAACCAGAGCTCTGAAGATCTTTGCCACGTATTGTCAACTCAACCAATTAACCATCAATCATGCTAAATCTAAGATTCTGATTTTCGCCAGAAGTCGGAGACTATACGAATGGAAGCTTGGTGGAGCAAAAATAGAGCAAGTTCTAAAATTTCAATACCTAGGAGTTATTTTTCAATACAATTTGGGGTGGAAAGCACATATTCAACACCTACTTAATAAGGCCAAAACTCTGTCATATGAGCTCCTCCGATTTTTCTTTCGGATGGAGCTTTGCATGTTCCTCGGCCCTAAAGGTGTTGAAGGCAAAAGTGGTTCCCGTGCTTGCTTATGCTGCCCCGCTCTGGGTCGTGATGACAGACCTTGCTCCTCTTGAGACTTTGCAAAACCAATTCCTACGTCGGCTCCTAATGCTCCCCCTGTGCGTAAGCAACGCAGCCATGCGTCTAGAATTGAGGATCGCATCCTTAGAAACTTGCCTGTGGAAGCAAGTCTTCAATTATTGGTTATCATTGTGGCATAGATTACCAGACCATTACCTTGCCCAATGCTTATGGCGAGATGAATTCTCCAGCCTTTGGACCAGTAGAATTCATGCCAAACTCCTGAGCTATGGATCTCTCCCTTTGATTCCCTAAAACTAGATCAAATCACTGCTCAAAGACTGATCCGCCAAAGACTGGATGACATCGATTTACAGCAAAATTATATGCTGGGGGGAGGTGTTTGTTCGCCCCAGAACATTGGTATCACTTTAACTTGCTGCGTTCCATCATACCTCTCCTCCCTTTCGACTGTTGCCCATAGGCTGGCCTTCACCAAAGCGAGGTTTAATGTTTTTCCCTCCAATGTCCTGAGACATAGATTCTCAAAGGGCCAAACCTCCGCCATGTGCGAATGTGATAAGGAGATGCCGGAGTCGCTTCAGCATATTATGTTCACTTGCCCCTTATTTAAGGTGCCACGGGCAAATTTGTTGGGATCAATCATACAGAAATTAGAGGGTACTCCACCAAAATTCCACCTTGCCCAAATCTTGCAGGATAAGGATGCCCATACGACCCTGAAAGTGGCTAGGTTCCTGGTCGCTGTCCTTACCCAAAAGCGTTGCCAAGGAGCACCACAAGCTAATTAAGGCGTAGTATGCCATTCCATCTTATAGTAGTTTATTGTTATAGTAGTGTTTTAGCGGCTGTTTTTTCCCATGTGCACAGGCTGTTATTTATGTCTTGTTTTTATCTGTATGGGCCTACGGCCGTAATAAATTATTATTATTATTATTGATCTTAAGACTCAAAGAACAGGCAAAGAAAATATAAGAATGGAAAAAAATAGTTCAAGAAATTGGTAATGGTAACTTTGAAACCTAAAATGTTAGCTTCTGTAGGAGGGTTACTAGTACAATACACGAGACTATAGTTCTGTTATTTGCTTATATTATATATGCAAGAGTAATATACATGGTTGACTGAACAAGGTGAACGTTAGGGTCTTTGGCATGCAACAGGAAGCAGATGGAAGATAATTAATGGCCTGTTTAAAGGGTGACTGACTTTGGAACACCTGTTTTCCTAATTTTAAACCTATTTTGTACAGATTGCCACAGATCTCTTTGTTGCCCTAACACTGCATGTGTGTGTGTGTGTGTGTGTGTGTGTGTGATGGCAGAATTAAGTGGTTTGCTGTTGTATCTGAAGTTTACAAATTTAGTGGAAACAAGTACTCAAATAGTGCTTTCATTTTTTTCTTAAAATAGTGGAGAAGCCCACTGGTAGATGCCCTACCAGTGGCTCCTGTGATCACCTCTGTCAGTAGGCTACAAGATGGCGTCTATCCTTAACTTTGACCACTGGAAGGAGCGTAGAGAAAATAAACATTATGGTGCCCCTGTAGCAGCAAAAGCGGGTGCCTTTATCTGTCCCACCTGCAGTAAAACATTTCTCTCCCCTATCAGTCTCTACAGCCACAGCTGGCGCTGTAATTCTCCAATGGCTTGACTTGACCCCTGAAGGTATACTCCTCTATTGTCCCTGGAGACAGATGGATTGCAGAACACGCACACGCATCCTTCACCTCGTTGGTGCGAAAAGGGAAATGGTGTCCCTGAAGTCAACTATTTTGTACTGGTTATCAGTGAAGTTAACTCTCTAGTCTAGGCAAGCAGCCAGCCACCTGCCACCCTTGGCTTTCCTCAGCGCAGCACCAGGTGCCCCCTGGCACCTCTTGCACCTTCATTTTGATCTAGTGCCACCTTTGCAAAAAGAAGAGGTGCTGGCAGGCAGGCTGTTGCATGTGTGAGCTCAAAGACTCAACCATAAAATGCAGTGCATTGTGTCCTTCGGAATAACTCTCTGGTTGCTGTAGTTTGGCCCCTAATCCTGCACATTTGTCTGCCTGTTCTGGGAGTTGAAGAGCTTTCAATCAACTCTCAGAAAGAGAAATAAATAGTCTGTGAGTGGGGATGGATGGTACCAGGGCCCTTGGTCACTTCATGAGACTTCTGTTTTCAGGTCAGACGTTGAATGATCTGAAACTAGCTGCTAATGTTACAAACTGTGGTTTATTTTTTTAAAAACCAAATAAATCTGGTTTATTGCAGGCTTAAGCTCTGCTTTTGCAAGCTGCCTGTATTTTATCTTTTTTTGTAGAGGTGCTCTGACCTGCTTTGCCCCTGCCCACTTTTGGAGGCTGCCATCATCTTCAAAAGGGTCGCCTGCTCCTCCTCCTAGACCAGGGTTCCCCAAACTTGGGTCTCCAGCTGTTTTTGGACTACAGTTCCCATCATCCCTAACTACTGGCCCTGCTAGCTAGGGATGATGGGAGTTGTAGTCCAAAAACTGCTGGAGACCCAGGTTTGGGAAACCCTGCTCTAGACTATGCAGGGTTTTCCAAACTATGTTTCCTTCACTTGCCCATGGACCAGAGGAGCTTCTGCCTGGCAAGATATTTTGTGTGTCTCGCTTACATAGTAAGAGTGCTCCACATGTTTAATCTTACTTTAGGAAGACTCCCAGTGAAAGAGGTTTAGAGCACCTTTTCCTGTTGACAAACACGCAGTACTTTTAATAGAAAAATAAGCTGGTTCCTACAGCTTGCACTTCTGCTGTACTGTTACCTCATTTTTAAAGGGCACAGACCATCCGAACTTCTAGTGTGCCTATCTACTGAGCCTACATGTAAGCTTAATATCAGCAACTTCAAAATCTATTTCTTTTCATCCTCTGAAGGACTTCATTTTTAGAAAATGGCCCATCAGTCAGTGACTGAACTTGGATTTCAAACAGTGTCCCCATATTCCTCCTAATTTGGAAAAAGCTGTTCATCTTTCCAACTCCTTGGCCTTGCAAAATTGGTAGATAATACTAGTTCACAAATGTTTGTGACCATGACTGTTCTTGTGTCCTGGTATAGTTTTCTGTTTTCCAAAAGTTTGATTGTACTTTCGCATATGGTACTAAAACCTGATAGTATCCAGTTTATCATACATAAAGTATTAAATTGTCTTGTTGTGTTGTTGACACAATAACTTACGGATATCACTACAGCTACTAGCAGTGATTGTTGGCGCTGTTGATCAGTTTGCAGAAAAACTCATGGAAAACAGCTGATATTCCTAGATTGGTTAAGATGTTTGTGTGCAACGTGGGCTCAAAACTGCTTGATGCTGGAGTCAACCACAGGCAATAAAAGACACTGTACTGTGCTTAGAAAATTTGGACATGGTCACTACTGATTAGAGCATTGGGCTAGAGCATGGGTAGGCAAACTAAGGCCGGGGGGCCGGATCTGGCCCAGTCACCTTCTAAATCCGGCCTGCGGACGGTCCAGGAATCAGCGTGTTTTTACACGAGTAGAATGTGTCCTTTTATTTAAAATGCATCTCTGGGTTATTTGTGGGGCACAGGAATTCGTTCATTTCCCCCCCTTCAAAATATAGTCCGGCCCCCCACAAGGTCTGAGGGCCCCCTGCTGAAACAGTTTGCTGACTCCTAAGCTAGAGTCAGGCTAATAACTTGTGAGTTCTCTAGAACAGGCATAGGCGACCTCAGCCTTCCAGATGTTTTGGGGACTACAATTCCCATCATCCCTGACCACTGGTCCTGTTAGCTAGGGATCATGGGAGTTGTAGTCCGAAAACATCTGGAGGGCCAAGGTTGCTTATGCCTGCTCTAGAATCTTTCATGTCCACTGCGGTGTATTAGATTACAAAGCAAGAGTGCCTGCTAAGGATTTCTCCATTAGTTGAGACCATTGCTTTTTTCTGCGAAGATGTATGGGTACGCATACCCCTAAACATTTTGTGACTCTTTGTACTTTTGTCCATTTACTGTACTTATTTTTCCTGATTTGAACATCTTGAGTCAAAATGAGAGTACCCCTAAACATTTTTTGGGGGGGGAAAGCACTGGTTGAGACCTTAGCTAATCTGTTAGCACAGTCTTTACTTGTGTGTAGATGTAGGATTGAAGCCTTTGTTTGTGCTCTTGCTTTATAAGTCTACCTAAGGGTTAGATCCTAGTCTAATATTGTTTACTGAAATCCCAGCAGGATCTTAGCTGGTCTGCTGAGGGCTGCAGACTGCCTTCTGTCCACCCCAGTGGAAAAAGTTGATACTACTAATTTCCTTTTGGCTGCCTGGAAAGAAATTGTGGCTAGGCAGACAATAACTTGAAGGAACAAAAATAAACATTTTGAAGCAGAAAATGTATTGCCTGCCAAATGATTTTTTTATTATTATAAAGAAGTGAAAACTGGAGGAAATCTTTTTTTAAAAAATGAAAAAGGCCACAAATAACTTTTTAAAAAGCAGAATTGTACTCTTAAAGCAGGCTTCCTCAACCTTGGCCCTCCAGATATTTTTGAGACTACAATTCCCCACTTCTCTTGCGGGGGCCCAATTAGTGCCATTGCCTTCCGTTAAGAGTTTGGGTGTAATCCTTGACGCCTCCCTTTCCATGGAGGCGCAGGTTACAACAACAGCCAAGGTGACATTTTTCCACCTTCGCCACATCAAGCAGTTGGTCCCTTACCTTTCCCGCCCCGACCTGGCCACAGTGATCCATGCGACGGTCATCTCCAGGCTTGACTACTGTAATTCGCTCTACGCAGGGCTGTCCTTGAAGCTGTCCCAGAAACTCCAGCGGGTACAGAATGCTGCAGCGAGGCTCCTCACGGGGTCTCTGCCATGGGAGCATATTCACCCAGTGCTTTTCCAGCTGCACTGGCTCCTGGTGGAGTACAGGGTCAGATTTAAGGTGCTGCTTTTGACCTTTAAAGCCCTTCACGGCCTAGGACCCTCGTACCTACAGGACCGCCTCTCCTGGTATGCCCCACGGAGAGCCTCAAGGTCCATAAATAGCAACACCCTAGAGGTCCCGGGCCCTAAGGAAGTTAGATTAGCTTCAACCAGAGCCAGGGCCTTTTCAACTCTGGCTCCGGCCTGGTGGAACGCTCTGCCTCATGAGACCAGGGCCCTGCAGGATCTGATTTCTTTCCGCAGGGCCTGTAAGGCAGAGTTGTTCCGCCTGGCCTTTGGCTTGGAGCCAATTTGATTCCCTCCCTCTCTTTCTTTTTTCTTTTCCTTCTCCTGCGAGGAGGCTACATTTTAATATTTTAATGTTCCATTATTTTAATGTTGTATTTTAATTTTGTTTTTAAGTTGTAATCATTCAACTTGTTATTATTGCTTGTAAGCCACTCTGAGCCCGGCCTTGGCTGGGGAGGGCGGGGTATAAATAAAATTTATTATTATTATTATTATCATCCCTGCCCAGTGGTCCTGCTAGCTAGGGATCATGGGAGTTGTAGGCCAAAAAAAAAAAAAAACATCTGGAGGGCCGAAGTTGAGGAAGCCTGTCTTAAACCTTGATGCACTGGTGGGATGTCATATTTTAAAGTAAGCAGGTTAAAAGTATTGATAATGTGCTGTTTTATCAGCAATGAAATAAACGCTTTGTGTAAAATAACAGTTAGAAACTACTAATGCCATATAGAATTATATAGTCTTGTATACATTGCATCGATAAATTCCTAGAGGCAACTTGCAAGCCTTTTGATCTTAGTTGAGGCCTATCCTATTCATATACTTTAAGCTAGTTTTTGTGGTACTGCAGGAAGCCTTCAAAGTCAGCTCTGAGCTCCGCGGAGGATGGGTGGGATAAAAATGAAGCAGACACTGTCTTTCTCATTAGTGTGTGTGTGTGTGTGTGTGTGTGTGTGTGTGTGTGTGTGTCCCCTTGGTGTTAGTAGTACAGTACTGGAATTTTTTGAGAACAACTCATCCTGTGACGGGAAGGGACGACGGGGGAGTTAGTGTGAAAAAGGGTGCCTCTTCCAGTGTCATTTCCAGTGTGTCATGCCAGTTCTAGCGTGCCTCCATTGAAAACAATGGAGGTTCCTTGGCTCACGGCCCATCAGAAAGGACTGCTGCATTCCTGTTTTATGACTCTGGCGTTGCAGGAAATACTGAATAGCAACAAAGCCTGGGCTAAAGTAGTCTAAGATGTTTTATTTGTCAACGTTAGAAAGGATAGTGTTCTTCTGCAAGTGGCATTTTCAAAGTGTTTACATAGGCTAGGATGATAATCAGACGCCAAGCTTCTGTAGCCCTGTGTAACCACTGGCTTCCTTGATCCCTGATCCTCTTAATACCTGCAGTTTTAGTATGCTGCTCATTGTAAATGTAAATATCATAAAAATGTAAACTTGGTTTGTGTGTTTAGTGTGTAAACTGGTGAGGGGTGTGTTATAGAGCGGGTGATGTACAGTATTTCACAAGCTGCACTAGCTTCCTGTCCTTTTTCAGGCAAGTTTGGAAGTGACTGTGTTTCACCTATAAAATCCGTGATAGCACAGAGATCTCCCATCCCAAAGAAGAGAAGGCCATTGATAAAATCAGTGGACACCACTTTATTGACTGCTCTCCGTATAGCTTGTCTGAATAATAAGAGCATTTTGTAGTGGGTAATTGTGGAATTCCCTCTGCATAGAAATCCTGTATCTTCCAGAAGCACCTTAGAGTTGTGGGTAGTGTTTAGCTACTGGATAGAGTTAAGTAAAGAGATCTGTGAATCATACGAGTTTAGTTGATCAGGCTGTTAATTTGGCATATGAGTAAAAAAAAAAATCTAAAGCAAGAAATATACTTGCAGATGTGTATAGTAGGTATCACCTTAGAAGAGACAATCCCTCATGTGGGAGAGGATGGAGAATCCCTCTTTAAGATATATATGTTGCCCAATTAATCAGGGGTACCATAAGGGACGTGGGTGGTGCTGTGGGTTAAACCACAGAGCCTAGGACTTGCTGATCAAAAGGTCAGTGGTTCGAATCCCCGCGATGGGGTGAGCTCCAGTTGCTCGGTCCCAGCTCCTTCCAACTTAGCAGTTCGAAAGCACATCAAAGTGCAAGTAGATAAATAGATACCGCTACAGTGGGGAAGGTAAACGGCGTTTCCGTGCGCTGCTCTGGTTCGCCAGAAGCGGCTTAGTCATGCTGGCTGCATGACCTGGAAGCTGTACGCTGGCTCCCTCGGCCAATAAAGCGAGATGAGCGCCGCAACCCCAGAGTCAATCACGACTGGACCTAATGGTCAGGGGTCCCTTCACCTTACTGGGCATCTACCAGTGGGCTTCTCCTTTACCTTTACCATCAGACTGAGTTGCTTTAGATAGTTCTTTTTCTTAAAAAAGAAAAGTGAACTAACATTGCAGTGTTACTTACTGAGAACACTCACAGTGGGTTTGTTACAATATTTTATACCATTCAATTCCAGGTATGATTTTCTTTCTAAATGGCTTGGGTCATTTGAGCCTCCCCATGCTTGATAACCTCTGGGTAGCATGTTGCACTTTCCAGTGTTCCACTTTTTGCAGGAGGTGAAATATTGTGTGGTGCAGAGTGAGATTTTTCCAGAGGAAGCTGTTCTACCAAGAGGCCCACTTACAAATTATCTCTGGGAGTGTGGATAACTGTTTTGCACATTTTGCAGGCCATCGGTATTCTCTACATCAACATTCATTCCCCAGCCTGGTGCTCTCTAGAGGTTTTGGGCAGCCACTGCCATGAATCCTAACCATTGACTATGCAAGTGTGATGGCCTGGGATTCGGACTCAGAAGCTGAACCTGAGGAATCCCAGCCTGCACAGGAGTCCCCACCTCCAGAACCAGCTGAGCCGGGGCTGGGGCTTGAGCCTGAAGGGTCCTCACCTGTGCTGGATCCTCAGGTGCAGGCTCCAACTGAGTCTGCTCTGGCTCCGGAGGTGATGGAGGACCCATTGCCTGCAGGTGCTCCACTCTCGGCCCCGTCAGAGGAAGAGGAGGTTGCCTCTGGGTCCGGTAACCCTCCAGCCTCTCCTGAGCTGCAGAGGCTCAGGGCAGAGAGGCGGAGGGAACTAAGTTCCCGCAGGAGGAGTGCTCGCCTCCAGGCCAGGAGAGGCGAGTCACCTGTGGACCGGGGCTGCCCTATGCCTTGGGGCAGATAAAAGCCAGCCAGCCCCAGTCCCAGGTTGTGGGAGCAACATTGTTGGTAGCCTGTTCCTGCCTGCACCCTGTTCTGCTCTCCTGCCAGAGTTCCTGACCTCACCTGACTCCCTGCCTTGAACCCCACTTCAGCTTTGACGGACAGCCTCCATACCGCACCCTCGACCTCAGACTGGACTTGGACCTTGCCGCACAGTTAACCCTCGGGACCAGCACAGCAAGCTAGGGCAGGTTGGAGTTGCTGTCCAAAACACCTGGACAACACCAGGTTGTTGATTGTTGTTGAGTATAGACTAACAGCAAGAGACTTTCCCAGCCCTATCTGGAGATGCCAGGGATTTAACTTGGAACCTTCTGCATGGAAATGCTGTGTGCTACCTCTGAGCAATGGGCCACTTTTCTCTCTCGTTCCACACCAAGTTATAAAACTTCAGTACTGCTGAGCTTTCAATTTTTAGCTTTGTTTGCTTTTAGTCTTTTTTTAAAAGCCTTTTTATGTTATACAGCTTGAGCTTTGGTAAAAAAAAAAAAAAAACCTTCGGCAATGCAATCCAATAAATGTATAATTGGAAGTAAGTCCCATTGAGCTCAGCGTGTTTTTCTCCCAAGTAAGTTGGTTTAGAATGGCAACCTTAGCTACGTCCTGGTATTGAATAAATTTCCATTGCTACTTTTTAATTCTCCAAGGCCTTTTGTTTTATTTTAAATCTGTTTTATGTTTCATTTTCATTTGAAGTGCCTGGGTAGAAAAAACACCGCAGACATTTTAAAAATGAAATAAAAACTGTAGAACAGAGCTTTCAAAACTTACCATATTGGTGACACACTTTTTAGACATGCATCATTTCACATTAATTCAGTTTTACTAACTCCTTTCCAGCCCCGGGAGGAGAGCAGGGATTGTTCTTGTGACACACCTGCACACTGCAGCTGACACACTAACATGTCGCGACACACAGTTTGGAAAGCTCTGCTGTAGAAGCTCTTCTGACAATGCGATGTGCAGTATAGATGTAGAATAAACAAACCTCCCTACAGTTCTCTTCTCTTGTAATTTCTAATTGCTCGAAATACTACTATAAATAGGACAGAATAATAAAGAATGAGGCAGGCATTCAACTAATCAGAGATGCAGTTCATAACTGACTTTAAAAGTATTAGACTAATTAGAGGGGTGCTCTTTTAAAGGCATTCTTGGAAACCTTAATTAATGAATGGCCACCTGTGTCCAAAATCTTAATTTTCTTAACTTCGGAGTACCTTTCTGAAAACTTTTTACTGTGCCCTATATATAGTAAATAACAAAGTGAAAGTTTCTAAAATGTGTGTTACAAAGTCAGTATATCCAGTCTAACCCGGAATTAACAAAACTGACAACAAAGCCTGTGGTTCAGTTCGTCAATTAGAATTATTCCAAAACAATACAAAAGGATGACTAAAATGGAAAATGAGTATGCCTGCCTTCTCAGACATTAAAACTTGTTGTTAGCTGGATAACTTCCACCACTTTAAAAATGACTCACAGTCCTAATACTAATTCTTCTTTGATACATTAGTTGAACATAAATGCTAGTATCAAGCTTTGTACTTGATAGTGTATATATTGAACAGCTGAAGTCCCATTATCCCTTTTAAGATCCACATTTAATGACAACATATCGCAGAGGTGGAGAACTTAATAACCTTCCAGATGTTGCTAGACTACAACAGTCAGTTTCGGCCACTGGTTATCTGGCTAGGGATGAAGAGAGTTGGGATGCAGCCCATCTGGAGGGCCAGAGGTTGGCTCTCCCTTCTTGAATTGTCGTTAATCCCATATCTTCCAAGATGATTTCCTACCTTCCTCATTGCTGCATTAGCAATAGCAGACCATTCTCTGTAGCAGTCTGTAGTAGTTTGCTGCAGCTGTAGGCCATATCTTTTTTCATATATTTCATTTCTGTTTTTGAAGCAACATTTGTTCATTTCATTTCTTCCCAACTGCCTACAGGCCCTTGGCGCAGGAGCCTGACATGAGAAAGTGCTGATTTTGGGATGGGAAGGCAACATTACACCCACAGAGAGCTATGACAGCTGCCACCTCCGTCTATATGAGGAACACAATACTCTCGCCCTCTTTGCTTGTGGTTCACCAAGGGGGAGAAGTGCGACAGATACGTCACTTCATCTGTCTGCTTTTACCAAACATTACCAGGAGACATGAAGTGGTGGCAGCCAGGTTTTTTTTACGTAATGTGTAGTTTGGCCAAAAGTGATTTATGGTAAGGTAAGCCTGAGTTTTCTCTCCCCTGGTTGTGTACTTGCCCACTGAGCCACATTGAGGCCAAAGTAAATGCACTTAACTCCCATCCAAAGGCATCGCACTGCTTAGGTTAAGCCGAATGCCCGCTTCTCTACTTGAAATGACATATTGGAGTATTCCTTATAATGTTTGACTTTGTGTCTGAGGTAATGGAAAGGTTGAGGACACTGTGCCTTATTGATTTATCTGTCCTATAACTGTGTCTGGGGAATAAGCTTCTTCTTGGCTGTTGGAATATTTTGATAACTGGTGATCATATTTTTTTAAAAATCACTAGTCCATGAAATAAGTAGATTAGCTACTGGTTTCCTTAAGATTTGAAAGTAAAGTAAAATTACAGTAAAAATGAAGCCATTGTTCGTACTATAAGTGTATTCTATGCACAAAATTACAGTGGTGCCTCGCAAGACGAAATTAATCCGTTCCGCGAGAGTCTTCGTCTAGCGGTTTTTTCGTCTTGCGAAGCAACCCTATTAGCGGCTTAACGGATTAGCGCTATTAGCGGTTTAGCGGCTATTAAAGGCTTAAAGGCTTAGCGGATTAGCTGCTAAAAGGCTATTAAAGGCTATTAAAGGCTTAGCAGATTAGATAAAGGGGGGGGAAAGCGAAAAAAACCCCTCAAGACTCGCAAGACATTTTCGTCTTGCGAAGCAAGCCCATAGGGAAATTCGTCCTGCGAAGCAACTCAAAAACGGAAAACCCTTTCGTCTAGCGGGTTTTCCGTCTTGCGAGGCATTCGTCTTGCGGGGCACCACTGTAATTATACAATTCAAATTAAAGTAACTTTTACTCAGAGTAGACCCCTTGAAATTAATGAACCTGATGAGGCGTTTGTCCACATGTTGTCTTGTCCCACTCTTTCCCCCGGATTGCCCCTTGTTCCAATCTAAAAAGCAGATTTTCCCTTGGAAAGGAATAGGGTGAGGTGAAAACCACTTGGACCCATGCTTTCTAGGTATGGCACAAGTGGAATTATGGATGAGCCCATATTCATTGATTTCAGTAGGTCTACTCTTGAGTAGAACTTACTCGAATACCGCTCCAAGTTATCTGCCTAATACACAGTTGCCTGCTTACATGTTTTGGGGTAGCAGGGAAATTCTTTTGGCGGCTGTGTGGTTGGACAGATAAGTCTGGAGAGATTAGGATGCCTGGGGCAGCGGATAATAGCATTTGGATCCTGGAGCCACATGGAACCAATGTGTGCACCTGCCAAAGCGTTTCCGGCTGAAGTTCACAAAATTTGGAGCCCAAATTACTAACCACTGCAAAGCTTTTTTAAAAAATGGATGACGTTGTTATACACACTGGAAAGAAGACACTGGCCAATGGAATTAGTCGTGAGATTCACAAGTCAATTCAAACTATGGTTTGGCATTGCAAGGATGAACCTAGGGCATTGCTAGGTTCTTAAAGGACGCTGGGCACAGGGCCAGGACACATCTGCTAATGTATATGTACAGATGACTTTGGGTAGACATCTAAGATGGTGGGTGGCAGGAGATCTGGGCTCCAGTGCAAAAGACCCACAGCTTGGCCATGCCCCAGCAACTCCCCTGGATGAGCCAACCTCAGGCCAGGGGCAGAGACAGGAAACTCTTGCTTCCATTTTAGATTAGCTGCAGTGTGGGGTTGTGTCCGAATCCCAAACTGTAGTTCATCTTAGCTACAGTTTGAAACAAGCCAGCTTCATAAGCAACAGCTGAGGTATGCTTTCAGCCCCTTCCTTACTGGGGAGTGGAGGGCGAGCCTGAGGCTTGCCTAGGTTAATTCTTGTAATTCTACAGCAAAATGGTCTCCTAGGTGTTGTTGGCGCCAGCCAGAATGGCCCGGGGACCAAGGATGGTGGAAGCTGCAGCCCAGGAAAATCTGGAGGGTCACAGATTAGCCATTCCTGTGCTAAACAGTGGCTTAGTGTTGCATCCGAAACAGCTCTTTGAGTCTTTCCCCCTTCCTTGAAGTAAAACTTGAACTTATTTTCAGAATAGGCAGTTAAATGTTTAAAATCCAGCACTATTCACTATGAGCAGAATCTTTCTAGACACAAAGCAGCTGACAAATGGCGGCCTCTAAATCCTGTGACTGTACTCACTTGTCCAGCTGTTGAGTTTCAGTGTTTTACAGTGGAGTGTTGTCATGTCGTCCGCTTTTGGCAAAGCTTAATAGACACAACATGTTTGACTATGCTACAATTTTTTTTCAATATTTACCCCGTCTTTCACACTCCCCCCCCCCCCCGCAAAGTAGTAAATTATCCTTACTTTAATCTCTCCTGGCTGCGTGAAAAACAGGAATTTATGTAACAGGCACTCTGCTACAAACCTTTTCCTGTTTGGAACTTTGTTGTTGTCGTTGGCAGAATTTGGAGATGGCTTTGCTACTCCATGAGTGACCTTGAATGTCCTCGGTATAAGAATACTAGATTGTAACTTTTCTGATGACTAAGGAAGTCTGAAGCTTCTTTCTGTAAAATCCTAAACGCTTCCATGAACAGATGGGTTTGAAGTTCTGTGTAGACATGTATGCACAGGATAACTCTTGTTTTCATCACAAACACTTAACGCTCTGGAGTAAGTATGCAAAATTTTAAAACAGCACTCTTATTTATTTTTAATCAGTGGGTTTTACTGCTTTCTTGTGAATTCTTTTCGGTAGAATAGCAGTGGCCTTAATTCTGAGCAAGCAGCCAAGATAAAAGGTTACACTCCAAAGAGTTTTCCAGGCCTCATGGTATATGCATCCTGGATATTCTACAGCAGTTTCCTAATCCGTGGCTCCTTCAGGTGTTTTAGACTACAGTTCCCATCATTCCTGCCTGTTGGCCATGCTGCCTAAAGCTGATGGGTGTTGGAGTTCAACAGCAACTGGACTCCAGGTCAGCTGCTCCTTTCCTAAGGGACAAACTAAACATGCTGATCAATCTGCACATCTTAAGAACATGTTTGCACCTTTGCATATAAAGCAATAATGGGGGGGGGGTATTTCTCACACATGAAGGAGCATGTTGGCATGTGAACTGAAACCTGATCCCTCCCTCTTTCTTAACTAGCGGTGCTCTGTTGCTTTTACAGTGGTACTTCGGGTTAAGTACTTAATTCGTTCCAGAGGTCCGTTCTTAACCTGAAACTGTTCTTAACCTGAAGTACCACTTTAGCTAATGGTGTCTCCTGCTGCCGCCGCGCCACCGGAGCCCGATTTCTGTTCTTATCCTGAAGCAAAGTTCTTAACCTGAAGCACTATTTCTGGGTTAGCGGAGTGTGTAAGCGTATGTAACCCAAGGTACCACTGTAATCAGATTTTCCCCAATTGAGCTCCGATGACATCAATAATAAAACTGCTTAAACCAACTAACTGTAGTTGGAGGAAGGTAGGAAAGGGGGTTGGGGTTGCTCCCCTTCCCAGGGAACTCCTTTTTGTGGGCAAAGCATGCACCTCCAGACACATACCTGCTTCATATGCAAACACGCTTAAGATACCCATCTATTTTGATCCTTAGCCTATGTGTTTTGCAGTTTGCACTTTAGTAAAAACAAAGGTACTGTTTGTTTGTTTTTGTTATCAGACAGGATATACATTTTATAAACAAAGTTTTCTCTAGCTGCTTACAGGCAGAGAAACACAATTATAGAAGAAACCATGCATAACCGTAACATTTTAAATGCAGAATAAAAAGCACCAAAAATAAAACATAGCAGCATCAGAACTTTCCAATCTTGGATACTAAAAACATAATTATCCTTAATATCTTTTAAAGTTTATAAGCTTCAAAAATAAAAATGTTTTCACCTGGCTCTATAAACACAAAAGTGTCAGGTAAGCCTCTCTAGGAAGAGCAGTCCATAACTGGAGCGCCACTACTGAAAAGGCTCACTTCTTTGTAGCCATCTGCTGAACCTCATTAGGTGAGGAAACCTGAAGAATGGCTTTCAAAGAAGATCTCAAATCTGGGTTGGCAGGTCCAGGAGGAGGTGATCCTTTAGGTAACCTGATCCTATGCTGTCAGTTGCTTCTAGAGGTTGGGCCCGGCACTTTTTTGGGCCAAAAAAGTGTCACTGAATCAGAGCAGATGTGGATTAAGATGTAAAAGTCTATTTTACCTTTGAGAACACTGGATGCTTGCTTCACTGCTTTTGCTTGGGAGTGAACACCTCCAACTCAGTATCCTTCCCTACCTCTTAATGTCGCATATGCCTAGTCTTCTTCCTGGATGGGTTGACTTCCAGCAGGTGGATTATTCATGGGAGCACCTGCTGGATGTGATCATCATGATCCTGTACAAGCATATATAGTCCTCCACTAGTGGTTTTTGCCACTAGTACTTTTTGAAGCAGACAGAGCTTGTTCTCCAGCTATGCTCATGCAAGAAGAGTGTTTGGCCAGCAGTGTCTATTGATGAAGAGCTTGATGCCCAGACTCTTGGATACTTGTTCTGTTTTTCAGTGGTAGTTAAATCTTGTATTCACTGGCTGTTCCTTTGGGATACAGTTGCTGCTTAACGCAGGTGCTTTTTGCTGAGGTATATGCAATCTGTGGTTTTTGCCATCAGTGCTCTTGTGTCTTGGACTCCCAGTTCAGAGGCACTGTGAGGTCTTCACCCTGTTTCTCATGGGAAGCTGCTTCCATGCTTGTTGTGCAGGATGTGTTGCCCTTGGCTGTACAGCTGCCTTGCTTTCATTTCAGCATTTCCTTTTATATTGCAAGGATGCGCCTTTATGTTCTTCCTGTATTACTTCTTCTTTCTCTATGCTTCACTCGGTGGTTTCATGGTACACGCTGCCTTTGAAGAATAAATAACAATAATAGTAAATAAACAAATAACACAATTTACAATAGGAAGAATAGGGTGGGTCCTTAAAAAAATCTCTGGTGCCAAAGGCCAGGGCAAAGAGGTGTGTCTTCAGCATATTACAAAGCTTACATAATGAGATTTGGGGGTGGTTTAGGGCTTTAAACACTAATGTGGGTACCTTGAAATGCTACCAGACAGGTGTGAGTTTGGGTCTTCAGGCCAGGGATATAGTTGCATGGACTACTTGCAATATTGTGGGTCTAGTGATTAGCGTTCTTATCCATTTTTTCATGTTGATACTGAGGGTTAAGCACAGCTGTCATCTTAGTATTTCTCCTCTACACTGCCTACAAAATCACCAATTTGATGGAAATAGGTATACTAAGCAGAGGCTTATCAAACAGGGCAAAGATGGCTGCAATACACATTGTCTGTCCTCCATTAACACACATCACAGGAGAAGTTCCCAACACTCTGTTCAGCAGGCCAGGGGACTCTGGAATGCATGCACACCCCACCAAGCTTTTAACGAAATAATAATGAGATTAAGCTTCCTGGCAAACCTACTGATTGGCTTCACCAAGGCCTAAAGAAGGAAAACACCAAGTCCACTGGCCCTTGCACTCATTAAGGTCAAGAACTTCCTCCCAAAGAGTGTTCACACATCTTTGCACTTGGTTCCCATGGCAGGAATGAGAAAGTCGCCCTAGCACTGTCAATACATTTTCCTTCCTTTGTTTTAGGGGGAAATATCTTCCCACATATTGCCGAGCCTAGAACAGGAATCTCCAGCTAGAACTCTCTCCTCCCCCAGTTTCCCCTCACCTCCTCAATGTGCGTTATTTTTCATTGGTTTTGAAAGGATTCCAAGGGAGTTTGTAGCTTGTCAATGCTTGTGTTTCCTGTTTCACCGCATTCACCCGGGAATATTTTGCATGATGCGAGGCTCAGGAGGGGACCTTGGTCTTCCCTTCATCCCCCTTCACTGCTTTTTTATGTGTGCTTTTTGACAACAATCTACACCTTGTTATCTAATAGCCAGGGTGTCTATAAAGAACAATCCAAACACCTCTGTGGTCCTGCTACAAAGGACAGCAGTTCAGATTCAAATCAGACCCCTAAGGAAGAGGCACCATCTACCCTCTTGGCCGTGTGAGAGGTTGTATTTGTGCTTTGGTTCCTATCTCTAGTTCTGCTTCCTTTCTTGCCTCTCTTAACTTGCCAAGCAAGTTAGCTACACAATTTCAGGCAAAACATCATTTGTATTTGACTCCCTTCTCTACGCCAGTGTAGTTTTCTGCATGTCTGTCTGCCATCTATAATTGTCCCATATTCTTATATTTCACTAGCTCCTCTCTCCAGCTTTCGTTGATCTCTCACATTCTGCTCTATCTCTCAGCCATCCTCATCTCCTTCCTGTCCTCTTTATTGACTCGACTGAACAATTGCCAGACAATTCCGAATGATATGTATATTTTTGGTAATAAACCACAAATTCAGTTTTTCTAAACTCTGTTGTTCCAATGCTAATTTTCTCTCTTGGAAAGCAAAGGTTTGGGGCATGTTTCACTGCTACTCCCAACATTTATTCCTTGGGTAGCAGTATACATGGTAAAACAGTGTGTACTGACTTCGTCCTTGTTTGTTATCTATTTTAATAACTGAAAATTTACTTTTTTGACATTGTTTGGAACCCCTTTTAATTGGTATGGGGAAACTTGATCAGTGGAGCTGCAAATTAAGGATCCTTTTTAAAGGCCATTTGGTTATCTTTATATAAAATGCATCAAGGTGTTTTTTAAAAAAACTTATGGGGTCCCTTACAACTCTACAGTTCTATGATTATAATTTGTGTAAAGTTCATTATTCATATAAGGTGTTAGTAAATTCACTCATACTGTGTGCTTTACAGCAGTTTTTCTGAGGCACTTGCTCTGAAATTCATTATTGCTTACTTGTACACTATGACTTTTGAGAATAATGGCTTGGATAAAGGGGTTACTGTTTGTTTGGCCAACATTTAGCACTTTAAGCTCTCTGAACAAAATAATGAAATGGTGTGCATGCTCAGACTTTGGTTTGCTCTGAGAACAGCCCGGGCTGATTGGACAGATATTATTATTGGATTACAGATTTTTCTTGAGGTGGCTTTGAGGTTAGGGTTTTAAAACCTTTAAGAACAATACAGCAGTGGTAAATAGAACACCTTTCCTTGAATTATATTTTAAGGTAAAGAACAGGTAACTTTCTTTAAAAGTCCGTTTTGGCAATGGTAGACACACATTTCCACAATACTGGATCCTGGCACAAATAAAGTAAAATAAGTTGTTAGGCATTCAAATTCCAAGGATAGATAGAAACAGCTAATGAGGTTGAAAAACAGAAGACCCTGGGGGTCCCTTCCAACTCTACAATCCTGTGAAAACATTTCTATGCGTACAAACCGTCCTTAAACAGGGAACGGTTCACAGCAGAGATGTTGAAGTCTTTCCCCCATTTTACTTAAAAACAATGCGTATTAATTAGGAAGATTAAGTGTTTTTTAATGTACGTAAATTTGCTTTTTCTTCTTTCTTTTTTGTATTTTCTTTTTTCCCCCTTAATTGTTTTTTCTTTAATTTTCTTTTTGTAGTATGAGATTGTAAATTCTTTGTATAAGTGTGTAATTTAAATTCAATAAAGATTAAAAAAAATATATAAAAATGGGTGGAATCCAATGTACTGCTAAAGGCAGTCATTCCGGCAGTGCAAAGATGTTTCCTTGTACAATGGAACACTCTCCTCCCCCTGATGCCCCCAACCTATTCTACTTTAGATTTGGAGAGCACAATCGGGGAAGAAGGGTGGAAACCCATTGTACAAGCAGAAATTCTTGCATTGACTGGACTTCTTAGTAGAATACCACCCCAAAGGAGCAATTGTGTCTACTATGTGGCAATAAGTGAACTATTGCATTGGGAAATGGGATTTCAATAGTTTTCATGCATTTGATGAAATGGCTTTCTAATTGAAGAAAAATACCAGAGATAAGCGTGACTCACCTTTTTCCTTGCAACTTTTTTCTCCTTCCCAGAATTCAATTCGTCACAACCTCTCACTGCACAGCAAGTTTATCAGAGTACAGAACGAAGGAACAGGAAAAAGCTCTTGGTGGATGCTCAATCCGGAAGGAGGCAAAAGTGGCAAGTCGCCCAGGAGAAGGGCCGCATCCATGGACAACAGCAGCAAGTTTGCCAAAAGCAGAGGTAGAGCTGCAAAGAAAAAAGCAGCTCTTCAGGCAGGTCAAGAGGGAAATTGTGACAGTCCAGGCACGCAGTTCTCAAAATGGCCCGCAAGCCCCAGCTCTCACAGCAATGATGACTTTGATAATAACTGGAGCACTTTTAGACCTAGAACCAGCTCTAATGCTAGTACAATCAGTGGGAGGCTTTCTCCAATTGTTCCAGAACAAGATGACCTTGGAGAAGGAGATGTACACGCCATGGTCTACCCTCCATCCACAACCAAAATGGCTTCAACCCTCCCAAGCCTTTCTGAGATGAGCAGTTCAGAAAACATGGAGAACCTCCTGGATAACCTCAATCTTTTGTCTCCTAACACATCCCTGACCGGATCAACCCAGTCCCCACCCACTACCATGATGCAGCAGTCTCCCGGTTATTCATATACTTCATCCAACACAAGTATAGGTTCGCCCAGTGCAGACTACAGGAAATACAGTTATGCTCAGCCCAGCATGAACTCCTTGTCGCAGATACCTATGCAAGCTCTTCAAGATAGTAAACCAAGCTATGGAAACCTCAGCCAATACAACTGCCCTGTAGGACTTCTGAAGGAGTTGCTTACTTCTGACTCACCTCCACACAATGAGATCTTGGCATCTGTAGATACTCATGTTTCCCAGCCTAGTGGCCGAGTGCTGGGACAGAATGTACTGATGGCCACTAACTCGGCAATATCACCCTATGGCAGCCAACAGGCCCATAGCAAACTAATTTCCCCCAGTGTCCACCCACACCAGGGACATGTCCAACAAACACCAGCAGTTAACAGCCATACCTTGTCTCTCACACTTAGCACTGTGTCTCACGCATCGAGTTTAAATCGTTCCTCCGCCGCGAAAAACTCAGTACAAGTGCCTATGAGCCACCCTATGCAGATGAACAGCATAAACCCTTATACCACTGTGAACAGCTGCAATGGCTATGGAAGACTGGGAATTGTCTCTTTCCATCAGGAGAAGCTTCCCAGTGACTTAGATGACATGTCGATTGAACGATTGGACTGTGATATGGAGTCAATAATTCGGAATGAGCTCATGGATGGGGAAACATTAGATTTTAACTTTGACAGTGTGCTGCCTAACCAAAGCTTGTCGCATGGCGTAAAGACAACAACACACAGCTGGGTTTCGGGATAAGGTTGGAAGGTTGGTTCTCTTTTATTTATACATAACATGGTTATCAGTTCCTGACTCTAAAAGGATGCTCCTGTACGGAGGTGTATGGCAGGACAGAATTCAGGAGGTGTGACTTCTTCCATTATAATATTGTGCTAATGGGAGAAGCTATGCATACTGTACCCTTCTCTGTCATGAAGGTATAGTGAGGTGGGATGGGAAGTTTTCCAGTGCTATTTCTTTACATGGGAAAAAAAAATCCTTTTCATGAGTTCATTAGTAACAGTAAGTGGGTGGCAAGATTGGTAGTGTCAAAACCTTCGTTTTCATTTACTAAACAGAAGTAAAATAACCATGCTAAATCTCTAGGGCATCAGAAAAATTCTCTGCAAACTGACAAATTTCCAGTGTGGATTACCCTAACTGCCATAGAAGAAACATTTCCAATTCCAAATTGGAATGAAATGGGAAGATAATATACACCAAATATAATAAGCAATAATTTGTAGTGTTAGGGATAAGTTCTAGAAGGGAAAGTTTGACACAGTGCTTTACCTTGTTGTTGAACGATGGGGTATGATTTTATAAAACAAAGAATGGTGTTTCTGAAGAGTGAGTAAGAGATGAAATGCTGATTCTTGTGATATGATAGCAGCTTCTGGGGGGGGGGGGGGGGAAGGTTCAGGGAAGTTAATTGAAACTGGAAATCAGAGATAGCCATAGTAGAGTTGTGAAGGCAAAGGTCTTATTTAGATTACAGTGTCTTGCTCTTTATTCTTAACTTTTTAAAAATGAAAAAATGAAATGGGCTGTTCTACACAAGCTGATTCATGAAATCAGCTTGTGTAGAACAAGCTACCACCTTAGGTGAAACCCCACAGTTTGAAGGTGTCCAAGAGATAAACTACAATTTGTGAGGCTAGTCACTATGTCAAAGGAGGAGGTTTTTCAAAGGGCATCATATAGTTATTGGGTGGTAAATTGTCATGTAACTCAGTTTAAATTTGTGCTCTTTAAAATCTGCTGAGACTATTATGCTAAGAGTGAACTTATACCAGTCACTCTGAGGTATGAATTCCTCAATGTTCTCAATTAAAGTTTGTGACCCCAAAGCGCCTCAGGTTACAATGGAATCATACATTTACTTTATACCAGTAGAGTATAAAAGAGAAGTATGAAGTGTGGCTTAACAAGGGCGTTGAAATGTAAAGATGCTCAAAGCTAAGACATGCATGGACTATCATATGGGAATTAAAAGCTTGCAAATGTGCCTGCAGGCATGCATTAAGGTATTCACCCAGAAATGGTCCTTTCCAGGAAAGTCCTTTAAAAGACCAACAAATTCTACAACATTTTATTTAACATGGATTTGCCAATATTATACTGAAATTGGCTCACATTTATAAAACACGGATGTGTTCCATAAAGCAGTGGACTCTTTGCTTCTTGGTTCTCTTAGGTATTTGGATACCACTATATGCATTCTTGTCTTGCATGCTGAATGTTTTTCTTTGCTTTCCATCATCATGTATTTTCTTTCCATTATCCTAGGCTGTAATTTAAAGTACTTCAGACATCTCTGACCGCAGGAAGTGAACAAGGAAGTCCAAAGATGTCCTTCAACCTCTCTGTTTTTTCTTTTTGTATTTTATTTTCTCTTGTCAGACTTGGCAGCAGATACATTTTTCCTGTACAGGATGTTTGCAAGATACTTGCATATTATTTGCTGCTATTGGTAAGAAATGTGCCATTGGAAATGTCTTTATTTGGAAGTGCCAAACTCACTACAGTGTCGTAGGAACGAAGAAAATACTTGTGCATCATGTTTTGCATTGACCCAAGAAAAGGTTAAAGCTTTTAATACTGTGATAGTTTTAAACCTTTCATCCCATATATCTTTTGATCTGATGAACTCATAGAGAGCTGCAGACAGCCGGATTAACTGCCTTAAGTGTATTAAAATTGCACATTTTGTATGAGAACACATCGTGGAATATGATCTAACCAAAGTTGTTGGCCATTTGGACTTCCAAATCAGAGAGCAGATTGAAAGCTTTGCTTTGTCGCCTATGTGTTTGATTATGTAGATTTATTGTGGGGCTGACTTCCTGATTGATTTCAATTTTATTGATCAACTTGAATTTTTGTAATAGGCATATAGATATTTTTCTTACATCTCTACTTTGTTATATGAGCTCCTTAAAAACTTGCAGAATCCAAGATGCCTAATAACATAACATTTTGTATACAGTATTTTAACTAGATTGGGGGGGGGGGTTATATTAGCACTGTGTAAGATTTCTAAAGAGAAGACATTTAGGTGTAATTTTTGGTGGGAGGTGGTTTCCTGGCACAAAGGTGATCTCTTGGTCTATAAATACAGAAAACTTCTATTTCTTATAATTAACACTGACTACCCCAAAGTGTTAAGTGTTGTTAAATGGTTTGTATATTCATATACTCATTTTTGTATTTATTTTACTAGAGTTTTATAATGTTTGTAACTCCAGGAGCAAAAACTTCTTAGCTTAACGTCGTTCTAGCAAATCCATTTTTAGTTTCACTTGTTCTTAATTTTAGGGTCTGCCATTTCTTTTTCCATTGCCTCCTCTTCTTATTTATTCAAAGAGCCTGAAGCTGCTTTATATTACATTATGGTATAAGACCACATCTTGCAGGAAAGAACCTCAGCGACTAACTTTGCAGTCTCAAATCATAGAAATAACAATAGCTTTAGGTGGTGTTTCCTCAAAGCCCCCACAGTTTACTCTCTTTGAAGGGGGTTTAGGAGAGCAAGTTTACAACATAGAGGCAAGTAATTATATAGAATATACAAAATTGTGAGCTATCGTTTTGGTGGCTCCTTGGCATACCAACGTCGTTGGGTTTATCAACCACCTTTCGTTGGTCAGAGAAGATGGGAGCTGGAACCCTGTAACACCTAGCCAGCCACTGTGTCCCTGTTTCAGAATTAGATAAGTTTTGTGGAATACTTTGATGTTTTTTAAGAGAGTGAGGGGTGATGAGCATGTGCCATAAACCATCCATGTGGAGGTTAGGGTACAGTCCCCAAGGTGCCTTTCAACATGTTTACTGGGTGGCACTGTGGGTTAAACCACAGAGCCTAGACTTGCTGATCAGAAGGTCGGCGGTTCGAATCCCCGCGACGGGGTGAGCTCCTGTTGCTCGGGTCCTTGCTCCTGCCAACCTAGCAGTTCAAAAGCACGTCAAAGTGCAAGTAGATAAATAGGTACCGCTCCGGCGGGAAGGTAAACAGCGTTTCTGTGCGCTGATCTGGTTCGCCAGAAGCGGCTTAGTCATGCTGGCCACATGACCCGGAAGCTGTACGCCGGCTCCCTCGGCCAATAAAGCAAGATGAGCGCTGCAGCCCCAGAGTCAGCCACGACTGGACCTAATGGTCAGGGGTCCCTTCGGTGGTCAAAACCTGCTTTTGGCCAGGAAGCATGCGTTTCCTTGCCCTTAGCCCCTTCTCAGCTTCTTTTCCCCAAGGAATTCCAGTGAGACTTAGTGTCCCATCAAAACATTTAATATATAATATATACCTGGGAGGGGAGTGGGGAGGTCAAAGAAAAGGCATTCCAGAGCTTAGTTAAACATTCATCCATCTCATCCAGTCTTCAGCTCAGTTTTACCTACACAAAGTTTAGCATATCCCTGAAAGCAGAAAGGTCATACTTAGCACATTGGACACCCAAAATGTTGAGAGCCTGCCGAATCAGTCCAGTGGCCCATCTAGCTCAACATCGTGTTCTCTCAAGTGGCCAACCAGTTGTTTATGAGAAGCCTGAAGATGGGACCTGGTGCAACAGTGCTCTCCCCACACTTGCGATTCCCAATTACGTAGCCTAGTAAATCTGCTAAGTAGTTTCTAGGGAATCAAAACATTAATGAAGGGGTGGTATAATGCAACAAATCATGTAACTGCGGATTGAATATGCTTCTCGATAGATCTTAATTTCTATAGTACTTTAGATTTAAAAATGTAAATGATGGCTTTGTGGACTGTGTGGATCTTTAATATATACCAAGCAGCCTTGTTTGGGGCTTTTCACACCTCTGTTAGTCTGTGAGAAATGTATTCTGCAACAGAACTACTCTAATTCTGTAATATATTGTTTGTGTGTTATATTAATTACCTGCATTACTGAGACCTCGGCTTAGATAAACTGACAAAGTTGACTAAAATGGTAATCAGATGTATTCTTGAATGCTGACAGTTCAACAGAGCATCCCCAAGGAAAAGGAGAAAAGATGATTAAAGTGGACCAGTTCTTTTACAGTCTTACAGCACAGTTCTGCACAAATCTGCTTGGAGGTACTTCTTTGGGACTTACTTCCATGGCGGTGTGTGCGAGGATTGCAACCTTAAGTTTGCACTTGATCAATAACTGGATTGGTGTTATTTTGTTAAAATATTTTCAGTTTGCATTATGAAATGTTCAGGCTTGTTAATTTAAAATTAATTTTTAAGTAAGGTAATTTTTCTTTTGTATTTTATAATTACTAAAAGTAATACTGTGGTTCATGCAAGCAAAAAATAAATAAATATGTAACTCTGCATTAAAACGGGACTTTTGTTATAGAGGGGCATCTCCCTCGTTCTGCTCTCCCCCACTTTCTACATAAGCAGCACTGCTGACATGAAAATACTTTGCATGCTGTTTGTGTGAATTGTAAGAACATGGAGGATTCTCACTGCTATATGCTGCAGAATTTCATTTGGATATTTGTAGGGGGTGGGGAGTGCCTGATGTTTGGAAAAGCATAAAATAATCCTTTGTACAAAGCCATAAATGTGTATATATATATATTGCTTTAATTGTGTTGTCTTTCATATGAAGACATGTATGCTGATAAAGGATTCTGCTTCTTTGTTACTTGTGCAAACCCTTCTAATTTATCTCTACTGCAATCCTGTGAGGTGGCTTATTTTTGTGTGGTGTCTTGGGCATCTTTCATTGGCAAAGTGACCTAATTTATTTTATAAAGATATACAAACAAAAATATGAATTACCTATATGTGTAGCTGAAGTTAAGGGGCGAGGGACTTGCTAAAGGCTATGCAGTAAGTCAATAGCTACCATATTTTTCGCTCTATAAGATGCACCAGACCACAAGACGCACCTAGTTTTTGGAGGAGGAAAACAAGAAAAAAATATTCTGAATCTCAGAAGCCAGAACAGCAAGAGGGATCGCTGCGCAGTGAAAGCAGCAATCCCTCTTGCTGTTCTGGCTTCTGGGATAGCTGCGCAGCCTGCATTCGCTCCATAAGACGCACACACATTTCCCCCTTACTTTTTAGGAGGGAAAAAGTGAGTCTTATAGAGCAAAAAATACGGTACTTTATTTTTCAGCCCAGATCTCCCACATTTCAATCCAAAATTGCATTCACTGAACCAAACTTAAGATTGTTCGTGTTCCTCTTTCTCTCATGATCCTCCACACTTCTTTCCTTTTTCTCTATATGAGACATTTAGTACCCCAAAGCAAAGGTCTGGAAATCTGTAGAAATCTAGAGGGTAAACAGTACAACTGTGCCACTGTGAGCTAACTCAGCTGGCATGATGTATTCCAAATGTGGACTCTAGATATGCATTGTCTTTGGATGCCTTTATTTCAGAAAGCTCCACCACTCAAGCCAGCAGGAACTATTGTTGGACTTAGAAAAATGAAATCACTAAAGAGAAACAAGCCACGCAATTCAGATACAACAGGCCACTCCAACATACCACAGTTTGCATATGAACGTGCCACAAGCTATAGCTCCTTCCCTGCTCCTTTCGTGTGTTTGGCTGCAGAGGAGACTCCCTCACTTCTTAAACCAGTTTCCTATGACATCCACTATTAAAAATATGCTTAAATTATAGCAGGCATAGGCAAACTTGGCCCTCCAAATGTTTTGGGACTACAGTTCCCATCATCCCTAGCTAACAGGACCAGTGGTCACGGATAATGGGAGCTGTAGTCCCAAAACATCTGGAGGGCCGAGTTTGCCTATGCCTGCATTAGAGTTTATACAGAGACTTCCTAGTTTCTTAAAGACGAGGAGAGAAGTTGGAGGCAGCCGAGCTTGTGATAATTTGCTAGTGTGCAAAATATGGTTGTTGGGAGTAGTTTGTTATGGCAGCAACAAGGCCATATGGTTCAGTACCTCTCGAGTTAGAGAATTCTGGATTCTGTTCTTCAGAATAGTGTTTTGCTGCCATTCATGTTGAGGTATTGGGGAATCAAGCTAGGTAGGAGTAGGTTTGGGTGATTCCACACGGCTGGCGTTTTCACAAAGGGAAACCAGCTGTGTGCGTGCAGTGGGGTAGCAAGCAGACAGCTAAGCTGAGCAGAGACACAAGCCACACTTGCCGACACAAATTCCGTGGAATGGGAAGCTACCTTTTTAGGAGTACGAAAAGTATATAATAGTGTTCCTTGACAGCTTGAAATCTGAGATGACTCAACTATTGCCTTACATTTAAATGTGTCCGTTTGTGTGTTCTTTGAGCTCAGGTAGCTTAGAAACTGAATACAACCATCTCACATACACGTTTTGACATTTTAAAAGAGATTACTGAACACTACAGAATCGGCCCTAATCCTCAAAAGCTAACTTTAAAAAGAGGTCTGCACCTTAGTTTAAAACCTGAAGGTATTTGCATCCTCGGGGAGCTCATTCCACAACAGCCAAGCAGCAATGGAAATATGCTCTGCTCTGTCCTGCAGCTGATCTACCTTATGGGATTCCCCCTTGCCAGTTTAAAGAAAGAGAGATCCACAGAGAAGATTCTCCACAGTGTGCATGTCCTAGTCTCTGCATGGTTCTAAAAGACAAAAGCAGCACCCTCAGGCATGAAAAAAGCCTGTGCAGCTGTTGAAATAGTGTTTTGATATTTCTGTTAGGGAAAGGAATTCTGCACCAACTAAGCTGTTGAACAGCCTGTGTAATAAGTTAGTTGTCCAGCCTAGCCATTGCTGGGATGCCTGACAGAGACAAGATCCTTGTTTTCCAGGAGCAAATAGTCGTTTTTAGTGTACCTACCGATAGCCGAGTTCAGTAGTGATTGCCAGCAGGCTCCCTGCTCTAACGGAGTAACCTTTGCTTCATTAATAAAAGGCGAACTTGCCTCTCAAAGAGCGCTTGGATTTCAAGCCGCCGCCCCCCCATTGCATTCAGCTTCAGCCTGACAAAATAGTAGCTCGCTTCAACTACTGTGATTAATCTTCGTCTGAAGAGGAGCTCTCTGTGCAGCTAAAGCTTCTCAAACTGAAACCACCCCAATAAAAATGGAAAGTCCAGTGAGAGCCTTTTTCTCTTACAGGAGACTAAGTGAAAACCTTTCAATTGCAAGTGTGACCCACATAAACGTGCCTTGAACAGGAAAATGCAGAACGAAACAACACAAAGTTCAAGTCCCCATTTATAGGCCAGCCAATTCTGGGGAACAAGATTATGTGCTATGTTATGCTCTTTGGCACGCTGCTTAGCTTAATAAAAGAGAACATCAGCCAGCCGTTCTCAATCTGAATGATCCCCTTAAAGAAATGCAAAAACTACATATTCTGCAAAATAGGCAGGAATGCAGTGATTTTAGGCCAGGGGTCAGCAAACCTTTTCAGCAGGGGGCCGGTCCACTGTCCCTCAGACCTTGTGGGAGGCCAGACTATATTTTTTTGGGGGGGGGTGAACGAATTCCTATGCCCCACAAATAACCCAGAGATGCATTTTAAATAATAAATAAAATAAAAGGACACATTCTACTCACGTGAAACACGCTGATTCCTGGACTGTCTGCAGGCCAGATTTAGAAGGCGATTGGGCCAGATCCGGGCCTTAGTTTGCCTACCCATGTTTTAGGCCCACTGTTACACAGCATAGGAGTTTACTGTGTGCGAGAGGATATTTTATAAACTGCCAGGGGGTGAATTGACTACACTTTTCCAAAAAGCATTCTGCCACCTACAAAAGCTCTGTGTAATGAGCACTAAATAGAATTTAACAAGGAAATGCTATTCTTCAGGGTGGTGAAGAATCTCTTATTACATTCGCTCTTAAGTAGGTTGTGATTACACAAGGCACCTCTATGCATCTTTCTCTAACTGACTGCCTCTATGCCTCTCCATACATTTCCCCCTATACTTCTAGCTCTTCCACCTCCGCTTCCCTGAGATTTGCCTATCTCATTGTCAAGCGTGCTACAGGTGATGATGAAGTTCACACCTACAAAATGGCATTCTGAAGCAGGACATTTTAAATTCAAAGAAAAAGCAGCTGGGGCCCTTGAACTGAAATATGTTCAATATTTCAGTAGTTCTGTGCATTAAATCTCTCCTCCACTATTTGAGGTCAATGGAGTGGCTTCCATGGACAAATAGGTTTTCAATAGCACAACTAAGCTGCCTACATGTTCCCTCAGAGGGCAACTCCATCTCGAACAGGCAAGATCCCCCAAATTCTCTTGTGTTATTATTTATTAAGTCCCTTTCACATCCATCCCAAGGCGACGCACAAAATCAAATAAGAACAGCTTTAAAAAGTTACAAATGCTCAGAAGCCCCTCCTTTTCTCCCTTCAGTAAATACTGCACATGCAAAAAATAGACAAACTCTGACCCAAAACCCCGATAAAGCTTGCACATGTATAGTGCTCTAAGAATGGGAACTTGAAAGTTCTACGCTGCAGCTTGTCATTAGCGAGGAGAGGGCTTAGCTATGAGCCCAGGTCTGTGTGGTCCCTGCAAGTCATACCTGGGCCTACCCTGTCCTGCAAATCAGACCACAAAGTGCAAGGCAGCAACCACTTCCTGGTCACACATCACATTAAACCATAGTTTAACACAAGCTATGGTTTAATGTGAACAAACAGCATGCTAGTGCATACTGCTCAAAAGTTATTGCTCTACTCTTCCTGTTCCTGCCACACTGCTCAGAAATAAGCTAGAGTATGGCTTGTCGTGACGTTCAACCCTGGACTTGTGGTCTGGAGAGAAACCACAAGCTCAAATTTGAACGTTGCCACTTGTCAGGGACCTGTTTCCCGACAATTCAGCATCAGTAAGAAAGGAGGAGCAGAACTTTTCTACAGCATGTAAGTGGCACGCTGAATATTCACATTAAACCACAGTGCTTTTTAAATTATGGTTTTAAGAAACAATCAAAAGGTGGCAGGCAAACTGGACCATTGTCCATACCTTGCTATTTTGTTTGATCTCTGGGTATGGCTGTTATCGATTCTTTGGCTTGAAGAGGTGGCTTCCTCTGAGCATTTTTATCTAACCAGTGGCAGAGCGTTCTCTGCTGGCGCCCAGGACAGGAAAAACCACCAGAGTGACTCCCGTCCACTGGAGCTAAGCGGGGCCACGCTGGGCTGCCTGCACTGCCAGCCGACTTGACCGACACTGCCCTGCTTTGAGGGGTGCACTCGCAGTGCCCTGCAAGCCCAAGACTGCTTTGCAAGGCTTGCAAAAAACGGCACAGGGCTCACCGAGTGCCGTGAGCTGTTGCGTCTTTCTCAAGGCACCCACCAGCTGGAGAGCAGTGTGAGAAGCGTGCAACAGCTCACGGCAGAGCAGGGCATCGTGAGGAAAGCGTCGCCCCAAAAAACTGCACTTGGGGCAACGGCTCCCCTGCTACACCTCTGTATCCAACTATAATCTCCGATAAATATTTATTAAAATAATTCCAAGGTAATATCCCCATTACACGGATATGGACGTGGATATGGATAGGGACGCGGGTGGCGCTAGGGATGCGGGCGGTGCTGTGGGTTAAACCACAGAGCCTAGGACTTGCCGATCAGAAGGTCGGCAGTTCGAATCCCCGCAACGGGGTGAGCTCCCATTGCTCGGTCCCTGCTCCTGCCAACCTAGCAGTTCGAAAGCACGTCAAAGTGCAAGTAGATAAATAGGTACCACTCCAGTGGGAAGGTAAACGGCGTTTCCATGCAATGCTCTGGTTCGCTAGAAGCGGCTTAGTCATGCTGGCCACATGACCCGGAAGCTGTACGCCGGCTCCCTTGGCCAA